ATTAAAAAATCTTTTCAAATTCAACAACCAAGAAAATTAACATATATATTATTGTTTCATTTATCGCTAAAGAATACCACTATTACGGCACATTTAGAGCCATTAACATGTTGTTAAACGTTTTAGAGACTCTCCAAAGCTACAAAGTGTGAAAAGCTGGTTATTAAAAATAAAAACAAATGATATCATATGTATATACACTTCGCTGGTAAAGGGTATCTAATAGCTGAGCATCTGTGTAAATTAATTATATTTTCATTTTAAAAATAAAAGAAATGATTTGCATTTGCAATGCAGAAAAAATTAATTTAACAACTCAGTTGAATTCTGTTGAGGCTCGGCGGTTTTATTTCATTTTCATTTTCATCCGAACATTGCGTATACGCAGTGTTAGCGGATGCATAGAACTACCTACCCCAAACTTATTGGGCTTGCTTTAAAAATAGTTCTTTTCTCAACTTGTTGGTGGTGACGATTAAAATTCACGTTTAACATGATTTCATGCCAATATATATACTAAGTGCCCATAGAAGAGCTTGTCGACAACTTTGCATTCGGAGCGTTTCACAATTTGCCGCACAATCGCGTTTATTTATCAGTGAATTTATTCAAGCGCTTATGGGCTAGCCCAGTAGAAGAAGGAAACGTCTGACTGTCCGTCTGGATGTCCCTTTGAACTGTCGCAATGTTATTCCCATTTAATCAGTAAGAGTTCAATTCCAAACCTTATCAAGCTGAAAGAGTGCGGAATTGTCATCATCTGTTTACTCAACATGCCTCGATCTTTCATTTCTGATTGTTTGCGAGGCGTCCCATGAATTTTAAGTTGGTTTCAAATGAACTGATTAAATGAACTTTAATACTAAATAGTGGCATTGAGAGTACAGGAGACTCTGCTAATTCAAGATCATTTCTGATTTCTTCTCTCTGACGAAGTCTGATTTTATTTGAGCAGTAAATTGATGCTGTAATTTACTACAATATAATAATTTAATTTCGCCTTTTTGTATGGGAGATATACAGAAATTTATATATAAATAGCTAAAATTTTATTATTATACCCTGATTTTTAATTTATATTTATTCATATTACTATATTTTTCGTATTCATTTTATATCGTGAACGCACATTTGTGAATATTCTATTTGCAACGAGATAAGTTATATTGTAAGAAAGTATTTAATTATTTCTTTGTTATTTATGTTTTATTTTCAGAAATTCTAAAATGTTTGTAAATAAAGAATTCATAAGTCAGCTAAATCTGAGAATGTTAGATAATTAGACTTCAGTCTTTTATTAAAACTATGCTAATTAACATATGTTAATATGAATATTCAAAATTAAGAATTAGCTGTATTGTCTTGAAGCTAAGATTTATGTATATATTAATATAATATATGTATAGTTCTAAAATCTAATTAAATTCCTCTTATNTATAATATATACATATATTTATCAGATCTGATCTGGATTTCATGTTGTACTGGCTGGGCAAATAAAGAATATTTCAATGTAACAGAAGATTATTGCGATATTCGATATTATATCATTTAAGAGATTATTTTAAAACTACATTCTGGCTTTTTATGAGGGGGCAATATGAAGGTTAATAATTCTTATGAAGTAGTCGTGGATGATTTGGGCATTAAGCTCTGGAATGTTACTGTCTCAATTTTAGCATTTTCCTAACAGTCTCTTTCTGAATTGTTTATTTAATTATTTATTTCTTATTTTATTACGCTCATCTCTTAACAATATCAACGATTTTTCAAGTATTCCGATAAGATATCAATAAATAATCGCTTGTAAACATCATTGCATCACATTGACTTGAGTGCGCATATAAATCTTAGATTCGGCCGATGTAAGCCATTGCTTTAATTTATAAATTAAGCTCATTAGTTTGTGTGGGCTCCGCCTTGGCGCACATGCGCCACATGCCCAGCGATCTCACCCTTGGCCTCGGCTTGGCCCTCGCCCCTGCTGTCGCTCCCTCTGCATGTGGATATCAAAAGTACATAAAACTAAATAGATTCCTTCAGCGTCAACAACTTTGTCTGTCAACAGAAATGAATGGCTCCATAAATCACGGCAGCCGCAACCGCAGGCTGGCATCACACTAGATCCCGCTAGGCAGGCTAGGAGCACTAGCACAAAATATGACAGCGTCGGGGCTGCTCAGATTCTCTCTGCCCCGGACCTCGAGATGCCCGCCGTAGCGTACCCGTTCCCGTTGCCGGCGCATGTAAAAAGGGGCGCGCCCAAGACATGCTGCGCTGACTTCAATTACGCGTACCAAGAATGTGGACAATGCGAGCGCGCATTGCCCAAATGCCTGGCGAGAGCAACTAAGGCAAAGACAAATATACAAAAACAAGCAATCATTGCCAATGTACTAGAACCGAATCCGCTCGCTGGCAGCTCCGCCTCAGCTCGCCGCCGACATGCATAAATTTTGTTTGGCCCGACGCACTTTGAACTCTGGAGGCTGCGGTTCCGGTCGTAGGTCGCCGGCTTCCTTTGGGAATATCGCAGCCATCAAGGGGTTAGTCTGAGTCAAGTTCTGGCATCTGGCTTAGGCATCATATTGATGAGCTCGCATTAATTACGACCCAAGGGGCGCCAACACGTGCCCCCCACTTGCGGCAGATGCAGCGATTAGAAATGCATTAAACTTATGTTAATGAGCTGAGTTTCGCCAGCCAAGCGGACATTGTTTGTGCATATGGCATATATGACATATGCCCCTGGCACTGGCACTCGCACTAGCACTTGTCAAGTGTCACCAGATCCTTTGGCAGCGGCTCCAAGTGGGCGGCCATCAGCATAATGAAATACACGCACCAGCTAGCAGCCAGCTGATTTAATTAAAGTCGCCTGTGCGGGCCACCGACGCCAAATAATCAAGTCAGTGGAGCGTTGACCAAAACTTGAACGCAATCAGGAACATCGAAGGGAAACAGGAGTTTTTACGATGCACAGCTCTACCCATATGAATGTGTGCGTGTGTGTGTGTGTGCTTATATACAGTTCCATTAAGACGTGTACACATTGACGCGACTTTTTTCTCTCAAGTGTTTGCCTGCATTTGTGACCGTCTTGGTCGCCGTCATCTTCGTCGCCGTCGTCGCAGTTGTTGTTGTTGTTGTTGTTTTGCTTGCCTTTTGTTTTACTGCCCATTTCTGTGATTTTAGCATCTCGGCACTGAGCCCGCTGGCAGCCTGTGGCAGGCTTTTATGTTTAGCTACCGAAGTAGATGGCTACCGGTAGCCGTTAGTCACGCATTTCTGCATCTACATAGCCATTGCCACTCCGACTCCGACTTCGACTCTGACTGTGACTCTGACTACACACGACTCCGCTGGCTCCACTGCTCTGTCTGCAGCAGCGTCTGGCCGTTCTAAGCAAACAATGCGGCGCACAAACAGTATGTCAAACTCATCCGAAACCAAGTCATTAATGCACCCAAGTGGAAGATCCCCAGCCAGGTAATGCTAAATAATAGTTACATTGATTACATTTAACATAAGCAATGAATAGGAAAGTGATAGTAGGAAATGGTAATATAAGCACTGGACTTATTAGATTATGTGAAGCTTTATGAATACTTCAGGATCAACTTTTTCATTTCCTTAAGTAGAGATATTGCATTTTATAAGCAAACATCTAGCAAAGACACAAATTTACTAAATTTATTTGTATTAGATTTTTTTATTATTTTATGTGACTATTCTTTTCGAATTTTATTATCAGAAACACATCTGAGAAATTTTAGTTATATTTTTAGGAAAAACTATAGATTTTCAATTGAACTCATAAGTAAATAACTAAATAAATAAATATAAAATTATAATATTATTTTTTATTTGAAAACGCATTACTTTCAGCAAAGCAGATGTTTTCAAACCTATCAAACAAGAGCCTTAAAATAAAATAATAGATTTCTGTAAGAAGAAATCCAAGATTTTCTTCCTATTATTTATTCACTTAACAGAAGCACTAGATAACATGAACATCACCTTTGACTATATAAAGACTTTATATAAAGACTATTTGCTATAATCGAAAGTCCACAATACAGAGAAAAGTACAAATACTACAATTACATAATAAGGGCACATTATGCACCTGCTTAAGCGCATGCCACAAAATATTGAAATCGCATTTGTTTTGAAGATTGCGCTGAAGCATAATTGTGGATCGATGTGTCAACAAATCGGACAGGTAAAACAAATCTCTACACGGCCAGCTTTTGGCTAGCTAAGTTACGCGGGCCTTTTATTTTATTTTATTTTTTTAAATTTTGTTGGTGCCTCTTGTTTTTTGGGCCAAAGCAAATGGACAAACAGAGACACGGACACTTGACGGCAAGAGCGAAGACCACACGGCAAACACTGTGGCACAGACCACAAACATTACAACGATCATTAGTTAAATTAGAGGCAATGGCTACGCGGCCAACGGCGACATTTTCTACTTGCCATCGCCCATGTGCAGCCAAAGCAAACAGTTGACATTGCTACCGGGAGGCTGTCGATCATGCGCAGAAGGCGGCAAGCGGCAGGTGGAAAGGGGCAAGTGGCGACGGCATCGCTGCCCATCTTTGAAACGAAAATCAAAAAGCAAATACGACCATACCGAAAAGTGTCTTGGACTCGCACTCAACGGTAGCTGCTCCGTGTTTGCATTGGACATTGCGACACCGAGTCAGGTGCTCGCTTGGCGACTGGGTTAACAGGATGTAGCATGCGCCGAACCACTTTACCCATGTCCGCCTTGCGTACACGAATTTCCCCACTTCAGAAACGAAGATGTATTTGAGCTAAAGCCATAAATGCCGACGGAGATATGCTTCAATACGTGAGCATATAGTCTGGATGGACCAAAAGTGATCTTACAAATTAGCAGAGAAATGTATGAAAGGGATTAACACAGTATATATTGTATTACCGTTGAATACTTATAGACTGATTTGTCTGACTTCTCCGCCTCAACATACCTGGATCCATTTCCAGATTAAAGAACTCCACAATTGTATCTGCTTTAAGCTATCTCTGCTGATCTCACTTGACTCCAAATCCACTTTGAGTACTTTCCCTGTGCACTCGTTCGACTTGTACGTATATATTTTATTTAATTATAATCGAGTGTTAGGCTGCTTGGGTTAACCGTTTAATAATTACACTTGGCCGTATTGTTAGTTTCAATTAGGGCATGAAATTTGCACAAATTATCGGCGTTTGTTGCCGGCGCGACGCCAATTGGATCGCCAGATTGGGTTTCGATTGGGTTGGCGCCTCGCTTCGTTTTAGAGTCGGTTTTGGATGAGCTACTGGCCTACTAGCTGGCAATACACACAGGTGAGTTGTTGAACCACAGCTGAAAATCTGATTAGCACATTTTGGCAATAGATCTTTGACTTTCGTTCAATAATTATCACACACTTTTCACACCCGACTCTTTTCTGGTCACTTTAGATTGAATTTACTTTTATAATTTTATGCAATATATGAATAATAAGCATCGTCGCCATTAATTAATTATGCATGTTTGTATTGATCGGCATCAATCTGGAGCACACATCGAGCACATAGATCGCACTTATTCTTGTCACATGCAGTTCCGCATTAAAATCCAATTGCCCGTTTCTTTCTTTCCTTCCACTAGTAATCCGTGATCCGTGATCCGTGTGGGAGCAGCGCGCGTGCACAGAGAGTCACAGCTCCCCAACTTGTTGTTGTTCATCACCCGTGTCTGCTGCGACTAACGGTCGCTCACGTTCATCAATCCACAGCCACATGCGAAAAGAACCAGCAGCCAAAGCTAGCAACGACGACGGCGGCGGCGACTGCGACGCAGCATACCAAGATCTCGTGCTCTCTCCTTCTATCATACTCTTGCTCTCCCGAGCTCAACGTGTTGTATGTGTGAGTGCGCTTGCTCGTGTGTTTCCTCTTCACACTCGCATTCACATCGCACACACTCTCACTGAGGGCGGCGATCGCTTTGTATTTGTTGGTTTTAATGGCGCTGCTGCTGTGTGTTGGTGTGCGTGTGCTTAGCTTGCTGGCAAAATAACAAAAATGAAGAATGTCTGTTAGCGAGCAGGAGCGCATTCAGTGAAATGAGCGCCCAACGTATGACAGAACTATCAAATGATATGTGGATGAAATATAACTTAATAATTAAGGCAGTGTATATATAAAGATCATCTGGTGCTGTTAGCAATACAATTTATATAAACCTATCAGGATATTTGATCACAAAACTTGACATTTACCCGCGATACGCTTCTGTACTTTACCAGCGATACATGTATGCATATCTATGTGCGCCTGTGTTTGTGTTTGTGTTTCTGTGAGAATATCTCTTGTAGTTGTGCACTCGCGTATCTCAGCTGCGCACGAGTAGTCTGCTCTTGTGACTCTGACTAACCATACGCAACCGGGCGGAGTTAATTTTTGAATGCTTGAATGGCCAATCTGAAGCAAGTAAGCGTATCCGTAGCGTTCCGCAGTGTGCCCGAGCGATGTCATGACTTTTTAGCATCACACACATACTGAGGCCTGCAGTTTGTCTGCAGCTGGGAGGCGGGGCCGAGGCAGACCGCCTAGTTCGGCATCGCCTTTTAGCTGATGATCGCGTGCATCTATTTTTGCTTCATTAACGAAATCGTATCATTAGAGCGATCGTTGTTGCTAATAAAGCGGCGCAGGGCCATATCCCTTTTCGCATTTGCCCAAGCAGGAGGGGGTCATGGCCCGCTCCACCTTGTCTCTGGCGCGGCTGCTGTCGGCGCTGCTGAGATGCTGAGATGCTGGGATGCTGCATTTCGATTCTAGCCGAGGCGTTCTGTTTCGCATGGTTAGACTTAATTATAAGAAAAGTTGTTGTCTTCATATCATTGTCACTAATATTTTATTTCGTCATTTAATGGTTGCTGCCAATTTCTGTTGTCGTTCGCTCATTAGAATGCCACCCGTCCCGTCTTCACTCTCGCTCGCTCGCTCTCTCTCTCTCTTTCTCCCTCACTCTCTTTTATTACGTTCACATTTGCATCTTTCCGCCAGTGCGTCTGTGTGAGTGAGCGAGCGAGCGACCACATTGCCATTGTGTGCACTGCACACGCACACACTCTCGCCAACGAGTTGGACACGCCTCCTTGCGATCGCTTTGGCCTACCTGCGCGTACCTTTTGCTGCGGATTCCACTCTCTGCTCTCTCACAGGCGAGCTCTGATGTTCGCCATTGTAATCGTCTATTTTGTGCGATTCTCTTGAGCTTTTAGAAAACAACAGAATATAGTAATTGGCACTCCCAAAAAGATTAGAAAGGCTTGCATGCCAATCAATTAAAAAGTGTAGTAACTTGAATTTATATTACCAGTATTAAAATGAAATTTTGATTTATTCCATGCTAATATATAATAATAAAGACATCATTTAACTATCCAATTGCTTCTATCTATTCATTTTGCGAACAAATTTACTTTCTGTATCTAAAATGTAAATCATTTTTTATTGCATATTTGATTTTTATTTTTTTTTTTTACCTTATTATTTATTTTATTTGTATATTGACATGTATGAGACGGTGTATATATTTATTTTTGCATATATGATTGTTTATGTCTACGTAAATTAAAAACTAAAAACATTATTAAATGAAACAAACCTTACTTAATGCCGAAAACTTGGAATATTGCATACATTCATTTTTTATAAGTACATTCATTTTTTATATGATTGTTCTGTGTCAGAAACTAAAAACATTCTAAATTTAAAAGAAAGAACTTCTCAATGATTCTTAGAAACTTAAGTATGATTTAATTTACTCATATGCCTATATTTTGAGCTTGACAGTAAGTTAAGTTTGCTTGACAATCGTGTAAATTGTGTGGGTGTGTGTATGTATGGTTGTGTATGTTTATGTCCATATGGCGATATATGTGTATGCTTGTATATCAAAGAATGGCCGCAAATAAACAAAATATTGCTTTCTGTAGAGTGCCCCACTTTGCGATTCTCATGAATTCAAGTAAAATACTTCGGCATTTCATACATTAAAATTATGTATTTGGTAACCATTTCTATGAACAGAAAAATAAAGTCTGTTCTCATTACTTATTTTACTCGTTCTATTGAATATTTGTATTAAGTAAATTACAACTCCATTTTGAATACTTATATTATATTTATAACATACTTTTATTTAAATATCAGAAAATATAATATTGCCAGAATATGTGAAAAATATGTGATATCTGGATTTTTTATTTTTTTTTTGTTTCTTTTCTATGAATAATTACTTTCTAGGTTTTATAAGTCGAGCCTTATTGGAACCTAATTTTGCTTTAACTTTCTTTTGGACATGAATCGGTCATGCCTACTATAATTGAAATTTCTCTTAATATACCATTAAACTTAAGCATTTTACTTACTTATGTTTTTAATAGGTATGTGTTATTTTTCAATTTAACTACGTTACCCAAAAGTTGACAAAAAGAAAACAAAACTTTTTAAATAATTAGCCATATGCGAAAAATAAAAGCTCCATGCCATAAAGACGATCCCAAGACGGAGACGAAGACAAAATTATCTGCGTTTAACAAATTGGGGAAGATGCTTTGAAGTTGCCGCCAACAGCGACAAATGACAAGCATAACAAATGAATATTATGTGTTTTTCTCTTTCTTATTTTTGTCTCATAACACCCAACAAAAATAACAATAACAACATCAGCAGCAACAGCAACATCTTCGCCAAGCCGAGACGAACAAAAAATATGCGCAACACTTGAGAAAACAATATACAAATGCGTAACAGAGTCAGCAGGAGCAGAGAGCGGGAGCAGGAGAGGGAATGGGAACGAGAACGGGAACGGGAGTGGGAGAGTTCAAGTGTCGTGAAGTGAGCAAAATGTGCTATATAATTGACACATTCAGAGCAGCATCCAAGTCGGCACTCGCTTACATAACACCAAAGGCAAAGGGTGTAAACGCTGGACGGAAGCGTCGAATTGTCTACGCCAACTCCGGGCACTTAAGGTGGGTTGGACAGCGTTAGAAGTGCGCCTGGTAACTAGTCARTGATGAATATGTTGTACATCGGTCGGTCGGCCACTTGAGTGTTGCGTCCTGTGCCGTGGACATTAAATGGCTCAGCGCAATTGCAGTTAACGATGAATTATTGGAATAAACCTGAAGCGGCTCACTTGAGAGGCAACGCACCGCGACTGTCACCTGATCCGAGAGGTTTTCGCACCCGCGCACAGCTAACGACCCAATGAAGCTGTAATGTTACAACATTGCCCGCTAGGCTCGCTAGGTGGGACAGGACAGGACAAGTCATCGGCTATGAGTGTGAGAGGGCGGACACATGTTTCTACTTCTCATCGGTTTCAATTTCACAGGCCCGAATATCTGGCTCGCCCATTTCGTCGGGATTGGCTGGAGCAACGGGAAATGGGAAGCGCATCTTTCACGCCGATTTGAGTTTTGTTGTTGCCCGTTTCTATTTCGAATTCCCATTCCCATTGTCTGGGGGGCGTTATGGCTTATAAATTTTAAAAATGCATTTTTCGTATTTTTAAGAGTTTACTTTTCCGGCAAGCATGCCGCAGTCTGTTTCAATGTTTCTGTTTCGGTTTCTGTTTATTTATCAAAACACAATCCCCAGAGTCGATCATGTATAAGTTTAATATGAAAATGTTGTTGCACTAAAACTTAATTAACATTATAAATAAACAATTAAGCATGCCATTCTACAAATGGCAACATCTCTGCTGAATGCATCACTTGCATCTATTTTATTTTTATTTGAATAATTAAGCATGCTTGCCTGCCCCAGTCAGATCGATTAATGGTTCTTCTCTTCTCTTCTGTCCTGGCTCTTACCCAATACTTAAGCCGTGTTTACAATTCGATTGTATTGTGTGTATGGAATCAGCTAAACATGCATTAATAATGCGCGCGTATTTGATGTTTTTCGTAAATTATATTGTTGGTGTTAATTAAAAACCTTCTTCGACGGTTTGCCCAGGCCAGTTAGAGATGAGTCGGAAGCAACAATGGAGCCGCAAAGTTGTTTCAGTCAGTCGCCAGAGCTCACCTGTGCCAGGGGCACGGCTTTGTGGTTTCAAACAATAATTAAAAGCAAATAAACAAGATTTGTTCAACGGCTAATTGAAGCTCAAATAAATCAAAAATTTAACTAAAAGCGTCGCTCAAGACCACCCAGAAAGATCGTGCTCAACCGGTGGCAAAAAGAGTTGAGTTGTAATCGAAGTGTTAATAGGCCAAACTGGTTTCGTTTTGGACATGTTGGACATGTTGGAGATGTTGTGGGACGTGCCCGGCTGGATCGATCGATCGATACAGAAAAATTGCCAGACGTCTGAGCTGAACACCAAGACTGAGGATGACGACCAAGATGACAAAAGACGAAACGCTGACGTTGCTCACTCATCGGCCGTTCATCTGAGAGTTGTCGAGATTTGCCGCCGTCGAGCACAGCCACAGAGACTGAGACAGAGACAGAGGCTGCAGCAGTAGCAACGAGTTCGCTTCACGGCGGTTGCACTTGAATGCTTCAACGACATTCTGATTTGTGGTTGCGGCTGCTGCGGCGGTGGCGGTGGCGGTGGCGGTGGCTGCGGCCTGCGTCTGTGGAGCATTGGCACAGGCACTGGCACAGGAGATGGAGAGCGCGCGCCGGCTGCCGTTTGCCCGGCAATATTTCACGTTAAAATAAAACTACAAATTTATCTATACTGTAGTAAAAACAAACAAATGCAAAACGATTCTGAAAAGGTGAAAGTTTTTTAGTGCCATAAGCACACGGATTTGGTCTCCATATCCCCATTCCGATTCGGATCTGGACTTCTATAGGGGTTGCAATGGCGCTCTCTCTCTCTCGCTCTCACTGAAAGTCCATCTCACTTTATCGCCCTTCATCAAAGCGCAGCACAGTTAATTTCAATATGGCGTCGTCGTCGTTTCCGCATGGCGATGCTCAGATGCCGATGCTGATGCTGATGCTGATGTTGCCGTTGATAGACGCACTTTAAATGCATAAAATTGCTGACTATAAATAACATTTAATGAAACACATTTTTCGATTCTTGATTCTACACGCTACTTCCCGCCCTTTTAGATGGTTGTTGTTTTGTTGTTTTTGGCAAAGGATTGGAGCAAAACATTTAGCTTCGCATCTTCTATGCGTTTTGAGTTATTATTGTAATTTGGCTGTGGGCAGTCGTGTGGAACGTGTGAACGGAGCCGGAGCTGGGCCCTCGGTCGGCGTCATAGTGATGCTGGTGCTCCACGATCATAGCTGATGCTGATGATATTCTAGATCCTGCTGCTCCAAGCCAAGTGCTAGTTGGAATTTTGTCATATACACATTTTTCACAGTCTGTGTAATATAATAAGTTTGCGACAAATGTTCATTATTTTTGCAGACCAAGGCACAATTAATTAGGAAAGAAGAGGAGATGGATCTTGGGCAACTTAACTGAATTTGCCTTTACAAAGTACTCCAGATGAGGAAACGGTCGATTCTATGCAAATACTGAACCACCTACATACACACAAGCACTCACACATCATCCATTTAAAATATGTTAACGGTAAACTCGCGTTCATTTTTATGCGCTTCGCGTGCACATCTCAAAATTTAAATGTGCCGTAACGGCAAATGAAATAGCAAAATAGTTGTTCTTCGACTTATTTCGCCCCGCCCACCCAACCGCACACGCACATGCAGATAGAAACTAACAGAGAATATGCAAGTGTGTGTGAATTGCACAGAAAAAAACTCTTAAAATAGCCATATTTGTGTTTCCCTTCTTATTTTTTTTTTTTATTTTAAATGCTTTAGTTTTATGTAAGTGTTTATGGAGAAATAACTAATGAAAACGCCTTAAATTGCACATTTCGCTGCACTTCTGTAGGCTTTTTCTTCCTTTTCTGCTTCTCAGTTATTAATAAATACACACTATGCTGACTGACTCTGTGTGTGTGTGTTTGTGTATGTGTGCGCTTGGCAATGTGTGTTAAAGCGCAGCATGATTCGCTCGATTTAAAATACATTTCCATGCCAAAGGCAACGCGCCGAGTTGCCGCCCTTTGATTTATAAATCGGACTCCTCGCCACATCCAAGGCAACACATCAGCACAACGGCGGCAATTTTCATTTTGTCGCACTGTTTTTGTTTACTTAATGTCAATGCAATTAAATTTTCTGTTTTCTTTTTGTAAGCCGAAAACAAAAATAATAATATTCGGCAAACATGTAGAGAAAGGGAACCCAATCCGAACATAAAATTCGGTTGTTTAAATTGCCGAAATAAAACTTCTTTTAATCTTAGTTTACAGCCAAGATCTTATATTTCCACGCTTGAAATGCTTTTGCGAATGTTGAGTTACACTTTGAACTTAATTATTCTAACACAAGCAACACAATCTAGGGGTTGTATACCAGGATTCTCTGCAAAATGATTACAAGTTATTAATAAAAATCACACAATGATACACGGACTACTTACACTATCAGGACACAGAAATATAAGGTGACTACGCTGCAACAAATATGCCGGAGATGGGGTTACGGATTTGCTGGTAATGGCTTAGCTTAATGGGTTAGACTATACTGCTTGCGCCTTATTCGTCCTTCTGAGGCACGCTGAGCTCCCAGAAGAGCTTGCCCATGCCACCAATGCCGACCAGGGCAAGCGCCACGGTGACGCGGTAGAGCACGCTGTCGAATGTGGAGCCCTTTAGGAAAACGGGCTTGCCGTCCTTCTTCTGGAAATGCTCCTGCACCTTGCGGATTTCGAAGTAACCCTTCTCAATCTGATCCTTGCTGGTCGCGGTGGCACGACGAGAGGCGGTGGTAGCAAAGCTACGGACAACGGCCTGCGAAAACAAAATTTGCGGTTAGTTTGGGGTCTTCCAGTAATCTTACGTAATTGAACCATAATATATCCAGTCTCCGAGATCAATATATTTAATAATAAACTGTTTTCATAGTCAATAAATAATATTCATTTTGTATTTGTACTTACTCTGGACAAATTCATCATTTTGCTGAAGTTATTTTTATTTTAAGCAGTCTAAATACAAATCGTACGAAGAGCTGAGCGAAAAATTCACGGGCCTCAGATTATGACAGCTGTTTGACTTTTTGGAGAACGGCGTTGCCAAATCGTTTGTAAAATGCCATTCTCTCGTTTTGTCATTCACATTGAAATATATTAAATTATTTCTCTTAGGAGTACAACTGTTTATATTAAATCTATTTATTTATTTTAAAAGACAGTAAAATATAGAAAGGCGTGATGGGCTTTCTGACAGTATTAAAAAAGATGCGTCAAAAGGAAAAGGAGATGCGTATTTTATTGCTGTAAGTATTTTCTGCAAAGTTGTACAAAATTGTGATTCATGTTTTCATTTTTCTGTAGAGGATTAGACAATGCAGGAAAAACAACCATACTCAAGCGTTTCAATGGAGAGCCCATTGACTCAATCTCGCCCACCCTGGGCTTTAATATTAAGACACTAGAACACAACGGCTATACACTAAATATGTGGGATGTGGGCGGACAGAAGTCGTTGCGCTCGTATTGGCGCAACTATTTTGAGTGCACAGATGGGTTGGTCTGGGTCGTCGACAGTGCCGACCGTATGCGCATGGAATCGTGTAAAGAGGAGATGCAAGTGCTGCTTCAAGAGGAGCGCTTGGCTGGGGCAACGTTACTTGTCCTCTGCAATAAACAGGATTTGCCAGGCGCTTTAAGTTCAAATGAAATCAAAGAGGTATTATTGTAGTTAGACATTTATTTCGATTATCCATATAAGTTTATAATATATTACGGTTATAGATACTATGTTTGGATGACATCAGTACGCATCACTGGTTGGTAGCTGGAGTGAGTGCAGTAACTGGAGAAAAGCTGCTAAGTTCCATGGACTGGCTTATCGATGATATTGCTAAACGAATATTTACATTGGATTAAAGGCGAATGGCTATTTCTCAACCAAATACATTTTGTATAGTTTCTCGTCTTCCTCATTGGAAAAGTTTGGCCTAAAATTCACTTTGTGAATTGAAGTAAACCCTTCGTCCATGGTTGGCGCAACATACTTCTTCTTCATCATGTTGAATACCATGTCATTGATGGGAGAGTGGTCAGTCTCCAAGAGTTCGCGATAAGCAATATTGTGTTTAGCGTGCGCTGCTGTCACGTTCATCACAAAGCAACGGCACGGAACATCCTTCTCCATAGCCAGAGACATGAATCTCTTACGGGATGCCACATCCACATTGGTATTATCCACCACACATGACTTATCAGCGTTCAGTGCACGCTGACACGCATTTAGGCATGCCTGTGTGCTGCCCAAAGTGTCTGCACTGATGATCTTGTAGCCCTTGGGGCCAAGCACCTCCGCGCAGAAGTGGCTCTTGCCAGAGCCGGGCAGACCAACCATAATAATCATCTCGCATTTCTTTGTGTCAAACTCAACATCGTCCGGTTCAAACTGCGGTGTCTGATTATTTATACTGCTTGGGTCGAAGTCTGGCTTGTTCCAGTGCTCCGCGCGTTTACCAAGAAAGTGAGACTCGGGCGTGTAAAAGCAGACGCCCACGTTTGTAGCAAACAGACGATCTGCTAGTGAATGATCCTTGCGTTGCTTTGTGGCACCCTTGCCTGTCTCTGGCCTTCCGGCTGCATCGCCCACGAAGAAGCAACGATCCAGCTTTATGGCGACACTTTCATTCATCTCGCTGAGCAGATGCTTCCACATACCTGGCAGCGGTTTGCGATAGTAGCCATCGCCAATAGCTATAAACACCTGCACCGGCACACCCAATTTCTTCACTATGTTCTTGACTTTTATCTTAAAATCTTCTAGACTGACTTTGCCACGCGCTATGCCACCCTGATTGGTGAAGAAGCAAATTTTGTACCCGTCTTTATGCAGGCTCTGTAGTTTTTGAGGCACCTCGGGATAGATGATCTGCCAATCGTCGGTATTCTTCGGAAATACATTTCCCGACTTTGTCTTGATGATGGTGCCATCCATGTCATAGGCTGCTATCTTGCTGGAGGGAGCCAATCCAGCACTGTTATAGATTAACATTTTACCATTCGCGACAGAATCCCATTTTTCTTCCTTATTGGCAATTTCCATGGCAAGTGTCGCCTGCTCTTCTGCGGTGGTTTCTGCGTTGTCCTTTTGCGTTTCTGGTGCGGGAGTAAAGACCACCTCGTAGGGATGGCGGCCGTAAACAATTTCCAACAGATCACCATGCCGCAGCTCGCATTCCGTGTGATACATCGCCATGGCACCATTGATGCCACAAGGATTGACACCCAGCACCTTCAACTGAATGCGTCCCATCTCCAAATTTACTTGTAATCGAAGCTGCTTCTTGGAACAGCGAGCATCACGGATCCCAGTCTCCTTGCAGCGTCCCAGCACATTATCACCGCTGACCAAGTGTATGGCACAATGCTCGGCCTCCATGGGCTTCAGCGTGCAATTTCGTGCAACGGAACGGTTTAAGTATGTGGCCAAAGCCATTGTAATCCCCTTTTTATTAATTTTGTACTTATACTTCTTTATATTTCCGCGAATGCGTCTTTTACACAGAATACTCTCTTAGAAATGAAAGATTTTTGCTATATGGCTGTATAACATGCAAAATCGATTCCTGATATATACATGCGCGATAGTTTGAGTCAACGCCGGCATCAATATCAGTGTTATCGATATATTGGCGCAAAAAGCTTGAATGCCCCGAAATTGCAAAGCTTATATATTTTCAATTTAAAATTTGTATTTAGCGTAATTTAATTTTTAGATTATTCAAAAATTGTCTTTCACATCACATTCATAAAAACTATGTTGTGCAAATAATTAGATTTAATTTCTTTGGAAGAGTAGGCATTTTTAAATTGATTTAATATGTATGTACAATGTGAATCAATTTCAAAACATAGTATACTATGTGAGTTGCTGGACTCATTCCAAAAATTTTACTTTAATTTGTAATTACAAAAAAATAAATTTATTATTTCTTGCAAATTGTATTCCACAATGCAAAGGAATCTGATATCAAAATTGCGTGTACGTATTAATAGATCAAAAATATGTACATATAAAACTAATTAAGTCTACATAGCCTCTTTTGCGCCAAGTCAATGGATGTTACTCTATAGCAACGCCGCTCGTGCCTAGTCGTTCCATCCAAATGTCTCCGGTGAAGATGAGTGGGAGAACTGGTGCTAAGATAACGCCCAAGATGGCCAAATTGCAAAAGCAGTATCAAGAAGACAACGGAAAACCTGTTTTCCTGAAGGGCGGGGTCATGGACAATGTTCTATTCATGTCGACCCTTGTGCTTTGCGTCGTAGGCCTTGTGGGCGATTTTATTCTATGGTTTAGCTATATATTGGCCTGATCTAAGATCGTGTTTAATTCTAATCATATTAACCACACAAACAACGTTTACGAAACTCAACATGTGGTAATGTTACTATTTAGACAATTTTGTTCAAATTTTCATATTATTGTCATTACAATTAGCACGAAGGCTGCAGCATTTCATTCAACATAAATAAAACCTACATTAGCATTAAATTCGCCGCTGGGAGCAAGTTTATTACAAATTATCAAATAAATTATAACTTATGGGGCAGACTTTAATAGAGGCTTATACATGGTTTCGTCATTTTTGATTTATACTCTCCTCATCCATTTTGTCTATGACCTGCTTTAGGCACTCCTTTGTTGAGGTCTTCTCCAGGTCGCAGATGCGTGTTAAGTCCATCGTAGCGATCTGTTCAATCATTTCTTTAATCTTCTCTTGCTTTATAATCGACTTCACGGATTGACGCAGTCCACTACGTGGGATGCCTGGCGGCTTCTGGATTTCGGCAGAATCGTTTTCAATATGCCGCCCCTTGGCTCTAAAGTGCTGCTCAATTATTTTTCGAATCTTAAGTTTGGTAGCAGCGCGGGATTTTTGTGGCGTTTGCTTCAGCGCAAGGTTTCTCAGTTCCTGAAAGTTGATCTCTTTTGCAGCTTCAGGACCATCATTAAGTTCCAGAGATACTTCCTCCACAGTAGCCACTATGCCATCGTCATCATCAACCTGCACCGCCAGATGGTCTATGACGAGTTGCTCAGATTTATCCATTGGCTCGGGGGCTTTGTTGTCCAATTCGGTTTCTTCTTTTATGACATCCAAAGGTAAATTTGAAGTTTCATCCACTTTATCTGCCTCAATTTTCTCTTTCTTTCGTTTATTTTTCGTAATTTCTTTTGGATTCTTTTCGTTTGGTGGCTTCTCTTCAGGTTGGAGCACTGTCTCAGCAGACACTCGTTTCTTCAAAATACCTATGCAAGGCTTTGTCTTAATCCGCACTGGCAGGATGGAGTTGTACTGAATGCCGATGCTATTGAAACAATCTATAAACTCCAAAATTTCGAAATTCTCCTGCAGTGTTGCCCACAGCTCCGTGTTGTGCTTATTTTTCGCTTCCACCAACAAGTGACTATAGATGGCGATTTCCGCTTGACTATAGTTCATTGATTCATCCTTGCTATAGGTCCAATTGCTGTTGATTTCCATGAAACGCGATACACCGCTCTGTGCGGCCAAGTTTGCAATATGAACCGTTACATTTGAATTGGCTCCCTCCAGACGATGCAAGCGAGAGAGAGCTGCGCCACCTGGATAATTGGTTCCCGAGACAACAAGCAGGAATATGGTTATCAGCACATTGACAAGCAAATGCGACGCTGCAATCAATGCCAGAAAGCTATGCCATGCTGATTTGGCACTGTTCATCCACCTTTAAAGAAAAAAAAGTTGATCTAGAGGCGCACATTCATAAACTATGTGTGCAAACTTACAAACGATGGCAGCCGCAGGCTGCAGCAATATTGAGGACAGGAAATACGTATATGATAAACCGAAGTTCCTTGTGTGGCAGTATTGAGTACAACAGCACAAATCCCAATGCCGAAAGAGCCAGGGGTCGTAGGCGCCTTTCAAAGTAAATGCCAATCGGCACAAAGAACAATGACGCACCCATGGCCCGTGGAAGTGCCGAGTAAAAGTACCATAGAAATGGGGACGTGCCCCAGTTGGAGCTTTTGTTGAGTATCGTGTTGTACCACAGCACTTCGCCCTCAGGCCATAATAGGCGGCGCCAGAAGAACGAGTCCACCAAAACAGTAGCTGCCAAAATGCACACTCCAGCCGGCAAAGCAATCTTCAGCAAACTGTGAAAGATAAAAGTTGTTAAATTGTGACAAGACCTATTTAAGAAATATTTCTAGCCGCACCCATCGATAGATAACTTTTGCCTCAGCAGATCTTGCGCAAGCAGCAACCCCAAAAACAATGCCAACTCGGAGCGAAACACAATGATTGCAATGCCAGAGCATATGATAAATGGCTTGGTTTGGCCACGCATCCAATACGTAATTGCATAGAGAACTGAAATAAATCAAAGTAATTTAATATTGAAGGAATCAATATAATAGAGCAACATACCAAATGGCAATGCAAAGATGTTTGGCAGGGGACGCGTCATGTAGAAAATATAGTGAAATTGCGTTATGGTTATAGCCGTAAACCATAGACGCACTTCGATGCCATAGATGTTGGTAACGGCCTTTCGCAAATTGTTCCACGCAACTGTAATAGCTCCAGCTAAGACAAGGCGGACTGTGAAAGATGTTTGTTAGCGTAAGAGTTCCATGTCGAGAGTTTCATTTATCAGTGTCTTTTACCTACATATTGGGCCCAGAATTTATTGATGCTCAGCATCTCGAAGAGCACCACAAATGGAGCAGAGAACATCGATACAATGAGGGGCCCAACAAAAGTGCGAGGCACAACTCCTGGATACTCATGATGATCGTACTGCGAGAAATTGTTGCGCAGATATAAGATATCGTGCATGGCCTGCAAATTGAAGCTCTCCTCGACCTTAGTGAAGGGTGTATAGACGAGGTGGGCCGCAGCCGTCATAAACACCAGGCCGTCCATTTCAGTTCACAGCTTTTGTGAGCGAATGAATAAAGATTAATATTGACTCTTCGCTGGATATGAAATTGGCATGTTACATAATTGCCATGATGGTTGGGACACCAAATCGTATGTATTTTGGTAAATTCACATATATCTATACCACCAACACTGACGTGTTATTTTGATCAAATAACCGGCCGGCGTAAACAAATTTCCAATTGTTATCAAAATTGCTTTAAATTTTCAGCATTGCCAAGTATGTCCAATTAACCTGCCATACAACGTATATTTGTTTTTCTTTGGAGCAAAATTTACATTTCCAAAATAAAATCGAAATTTGTTTTAAAAATAGAACCGTTCCAAGTTTGCAGCAACAAAAACATAAATACAAAAGCAACAACAGGTCTGCCCATCAGCTGCTCATGACTCACGAGCTCTCACGACGCACGCAATCATCGTGAATGTGAAAGCTGGCAACCCTACACAGCACTGATTTCCTAGCACGATTTGAAATTTCAAGTCATCCTCATCAGCAGCGTCTGACGGCCAATGAAAAGTAAAATTAGCCTTCAAAGACGATAAAATGGATAACAATGAACCGAAAATCTTAGATGAAAGCGATTTTTATGTTATGTATAAGAGATTACAACTGCAGCTGGAATTGCTCCATGTACAGGAAGACTACATTAAGGAGGAGCAGCGCTATCTGAAAAAAGAGTATGTGCACGCGCAGGAAGAGGTGAAGCGAGCCAAGGCTGTGCCTCTGGTCATTGGGCAATTTCTCGAGGCAGTTGATGAGAACACTGGCATTGTGGCTTCCACCACTGGCTCCAATTATTATGTGCGCGTGCTGTCCACAATTGACAGGGAACAACTAAAGCCGTCCGCTTCGGTTGCGTTACACAAGCAAAGTAACTGTTTAGTGGACCTGGTGCCTCCGGAGGCAGACAGTACCATCTCAATGTTGTCGGCAGAAGAGAGACCCAATATAACCTATGCGGATATTGGCGGACTAGATATGCAAAAGCAAGAAATACGCGAAGCTGTCGAATTGCCATTGACTCACGCGCATTTGTATAAGCAGATTGGTAAATAAGTTTGCTGAAATTAAATAGGTAAACAGGTTCATTTCCATATCTCTAGGCATTGACCCACCACGCGGAGTGCTTCTCTACGGTCCCCCTGGCTGCGGCAAGACAATGTTAGCTAAAGCAGTCGCTAATCACACCACAGCATCTTTCATTGCTGTTGTTGGCTCGGAGTTTGTGCAAAAATACCTGGGAGAAGGACCACGTATGGTTCGTGATCTGTTCCGCCTGGCCAAACAGAATGCCCCATCCATTATTTTTATTGATGAAATCGATGCGATTGCAACCAAACGTTTTGATGCCCAAACCGGGGCCGATCGCGAAGTTCAGCGCATATTACTAGAGCTATTAAATCAAATGGATGGTTTCGATGAAACCACCAACATCAAGGTAATTATGGCCACTAATCGCGCTGATACTTTAGATCCAGCACTCCTACGCCCCGGACGCTTGGATCGCAAGATAGAATTTCCCTTGCCGGACCGCCGTCAAAAGCGTTTGATTTTTACCACCATAACAGCCAAAATGAATCTAGCCGAAGACGTCGATTTGGAGGAGCTCATTGCTCGCCCGGACAAAATTTCGAATGCCGACATCAACGCAATTTGCCAGGAAGCTGGAATGCATGCAGTTCGGGAAAATCGTTATATCGCTCACGCTAAAGACTTTGAAAAAGGCTACAAAACAAGCGTACGGAAGAATGAATCTCAGCACGAATTTTATAATTAAATAATGCCATGTACGAAATAAAAATATAAAATTAATTTAAAAATATGCTATTAGAAAGGATGAGTTTTATTTTTGTTTCTTTGGCGCGGTCCAGAGTAACGTCTTTTTGTTGTTTACGTAAACATGTGAATGGCACTCTGCAACAAAATTACCATCAGCTGTTTTTTCCAACTTGCCGCTCATCTTGCTGAAATATTTTCAATTTGTTCCTGGCCAAGAGAAATACATTTCGAAAATTATTCATCATGTCTAAAATATCATCGGTAGAAACCTACGTCACGCGAATTAAGCCGGCCATTGAGAATTTTATAAAGGAGCCAAATATAGCAAACATGTCAATAGTTGAGAAAGAAATAAGTGAATTTGACTTTGGACAAATACGCATATTTCAAATACAAATTGTAGTACCACTCATGGTTAAGCTGGATGCTTTAACAGGGTAAGTCCAAAGAGCTAGAAAATAATCTGACAGCTACAAATAAATCTTTCTATTATGCAGTGAAAGTCAAGAGCTGCGCGTAAGTTTGGTGAACTGCCTCCGACACATTATTTCCTATCTGTATTTGACGGATGAGAAGGCTGTATGCTCTCTGCTGGTGGTGGTACTGAAACAGATACGAAACGCTAGTGGTGCTGCGTTGATGCCCAATCTCACAGAGGAAATCAAATTGGCGGTTGTCCTTTTCATCAAAGTCATCTTACAACGAACCGCAAGCGATGTGCTCGAAAATTTTTATAGCCAGAACACAGTGGTGACTATTGGCCAAATACTGCTCACATTGATGGAGATCATCTCCAAGGAGAAGTATCGCAAATTGGTTAATTCATCGCTGGAGTGCTTGTTGGTGCTATTCTACGTGCACGATGATGCCGATGCTGGGGATGTGGTATTGCGCAAACAAATAGCCGACACCATATTCATCTTCCTTCCCAAAATAGTTACAGTGCTGTACGAAACTGCAATGGCAGATGATAAAATAGGCGAAACAACTAAAATAGTAAGTCTTCACTGGAATTTGAAATTAATGGCACTGATTAAACATTGAAATTATTCTAGTTGGCCCTTAAGGCACTAGGCCGTATCACCTGCATCATGTTTGAGGAAACCTCTAATGAATTTCTAAGGGCACGTTACGATGTGAATGCATTCAAATCGCTTTTTAGCACGCCTCCCAAAGGCGACAACACGGATCTACTAAATGATATTAACATCTTTGGCAGCAAGCGCCGTACGCTTGAGGAAAACGAGGAGCGCTTAAAGTTTCTTCAGTCGAATTTACGATCTGCACAGTGGATGGAAGTCACATCGAGACGAATGAGCGGCATATTTGTGGACACGTGCATCTTGCGAGCCCATAGCTCTGCAATTGTGCGGCGGCAGTACGCGGAGATGTGTTGCTTACTGCTAAAGAGGTGCGCGCACAGTTTGAAGTGCAATTTTATTTACCTGTTGGAGAGCGTGGTGGCTCTATCGCAGGATGAGGACAACGACATAGCGAATATGTGTCAGGCGAATCTAGCTGAACTGCAAACAATGAACAGCTGTGCCCCCATCTTCGACGAGAATGCTGAGCAGCTGCTGGACAGTCATCTCAACAAATGGCCACGCATCTTACAGCGTTGCGATGACAGCGAGCAATTCGCCGAACTGCTTTTCTTCAAGGGCTTCTTGCGTAATATCAGCGCTAATAAGTTACAAGTGCTGTTCCTGTTGCCCAAGAATCTGGATCTGTTTGTCATGTGTTTGCTGACGGCCTTTGATCAGCGCACATCGGCGACTTTGCTAAATGAGGAATACGCATTGCGACGCATTCAGGAGGACACTACAAGGGAAGTGAAGACACAGTGTGCCAAAATGCATTGGCGCCAATTCAAATACCTTAGTTCCTCACGCTGCATAAATACGCTTTATGACATTGCCGCAATATTGGGCACTGAGCCTTCAATAAATCGTCTGGTGTTTGATGTTTGCCACGAGCTGATCGAGCGACGCAACTCTGCGATGAATGAATCAATTTTACTAATGACCACGATGATTACGTCCCAGCAGCGGATTGGTCGGGAGAGTCGCCTAACTCTAGCGGAACTTTTCGTCGATCAACTTCTGGCCGAAGAACATTGGCACTTGGCATTGCAGCCGGATGCTGCCTGGCGACTTAAGGTCGAAAAGGTTGGCATTTCATTATTTATGAATCATTATTTATTAATTTATAAACCTTTGCAGTCCTCCGCCTGGTTTAAAGATTACACACCTGGTCTATACTCATCGGCGCTGGAAGTGCGCACTCAGGATTGCGACTCAGATGATGAGAGCGACCCAGTCTATAGTCGTGTCACCAGTTTGGATGCACAGTTCAACGTACAACATATCTGTTTAGTCTTGGATGCCCTGGGACATTGTGCCCTGTTCATTGGTGATACTTTTGACCGCCATATATTTCGCAGTTTGCACAAGGTGTTGCTAAAGTTGGGTAAGCATTGCTTTCATGATGTCATGTCGTGTCCAATCTGTAAGGCAGTCGTTCAATTACAGCTAGCAGCAACACAATGGTGCATCAGGCAGCTACATTTGCATTCGTCTCCATGCAGGTGGCCTTAAAGTATGCAGCCCCTTCACATTTCATCGAATGCTCCACTGATTATCTAACCTTTCATCTCAATTCACTACTGAAGAAGGTAAGTCACGGATGTAGAGCAAGCGAAACTATGACTACATCGACTACCTTCTCCATTATAGTCACCGGAGAGCAGTGCAGCCGTAGATATACTCACTGTCGTTTTGCAGTACAGCACGCGTGGAAATGTTCCACATCTGGAGAGCATTTTCCAAACGATATGTGAAGAGTGCACCAAGTCACATCAAACGGGCAATGTGCACTCCTACTTGCGCGTCTTCAATGCATTCCTGAGACACGTGGTCAGCTGGCAAGACACCATTGCGACTGAGATCTCTGACACTCCAATGCACGTAGATGAAGATAACAATATCTTAAATACTTGGTTGAATGTGCTCAATAAGCAGCCAACTGACATTCCTATTGACTTGAATAGTGTGCCAAGTGGAGAAGCAGACATAAATATGCCTGAAGCAGACCTCGATGATTCTCCAGCGGAAGAGCCTTCGAAGCCCAGTTTGCCGCGTCACATTGAACTCATCAAAGAGATTATTAGTCAGTCCATCAAGTTTCTTTCAAATTCAGAGCAAACACAGCAAATTCTCGCATTGGAATGCCTGATAAGTGGTGTCCCTCTGCTGAGGGACTACGAGGACGAGCTTCTTCCCCTTGTGCATCTGTTATGGGCACCGTTAGTCGAAAAGTTTCGGCAAAAGGATCCGGTGGTGCTAAACCGGTGCTTTAGCTTATTACACATTCTCGCCCTGCATACTAAAGAATTTATTGTAAAGCGTAGTCTCAGCGATGTGATACCACAACTTAAGCAGTTCTTGCAGACAGCCAGTAATCACAGCTGTACGGAAATCTTAAAAGCGTCTACCCAGGAATACAAGCTGCAGCTTAAGCTGCTTCAGGATCTGCCGGCAGTCATTCGCAGCCTGCAGATTGAGGGCAAGCATCTGCACGACCTGCTAAACACTGTGGCCTCGTACTTATCCCAAGCACAACCAAAGGAGTTGCAAGAACTGGCCGTGCAGCTCTATGAAGATTTATCTACCTACAACGGACCATTTGTGTATGTAACGCTCCTGCACCGAGCGCATCTCAAAGACTATAAAGTCAATGTGAATAAAATTTTCCACAGCTTAGGGTTTACATTAGCTACGCCAACAGAAATCGACGGGCTCAAATAAAGTTACAATTTGATTCCAACTTAATTGTATTATTACAATGCTGAATTGTTTTCATTCCAACGACTGAAGCACTAATCCTTGAATTAAAAATATTCAATTATTTGTTTCTAATTTGCATAGTTTTTTTTTTTTTTTTTTATTAAAATGACTTGTAGGTATATTTAAACAAGGATCGAACAAAAATTTAATTTATACAGAATTGTAGCCTTTGGAAATAAAATTTAAAGTAAAGGGCTTCGTAGTTGAGTGTGGGCGCGCACCTTATTGCCAATATAGAAATGCTATGCATAAACACAATACTTTTACTCACTGTTTACGTTGTTTTATGTATTTTTTCAAATCGAACATACACTGTGTACAGTGAATACTCAGATGCTTAGCACCAATAAAACTTAGCATCCGACTTCTAAAGCCATCTTTATATAATCATTCTTGTATGCAAAGTTTGTATCAAATATAGCTGTATTTGTTTTTAAGATTGCTATTCTGAAGCTCTCATCCCTACATACCACAACTRTCTCTCTCTCTCTCGAACTTAAATCGTAGAACAATTAGCAAGCTGTGTACATAGAGGTATTTTGAGCAATTTGGAATCCCATGTTGGTTTTGATCATTATAATGCAGTTGTGGGGTTGTAAGCGTGGACAGGGGTGTGGGAGAATGTGGTGTTCATAGCTATTGTTATGCATAGGAAGCAGGCCGCTATGACTACGCCAGCCAATTCATAAGACTATTGGCATAGGCCATGGGTTTAACATCAGGATGTGGCTGTGAATAACAAATACAATATGATTAACATATTTTTTAAAGAGTTCTACATCAATACTTACCACAGCCTGAAATGATGTGTAATTTGGTTTTAAATTGTTACCAGTAATTGTTATAAATGCGCCCATGTTGCCCATAGTATCACTGTAAAGGGAAGTTTAGTACTTGAGCAGTTTGGATAATTTTAATTAGTAATAATTACCAATAATTTGGCGCAGAGAAGACAGTTATGCATTGCCCATTGTGGGCCACTTCATAGCCCATGTCTTTGACCTCGTGACTGCGAATGATGTAGTCCAAATTGTTAGCTTTACAGAATGCCTCAGTGACGTCCGGACCGAATTGTATACCCACACCGCGCTTGGAGGGGCCGCGACCCATCCATTGTTGCGGGTCGGACCAGAGCAACTCGCACATGAGTCCCTCCTCCGGTGGCTGACAGTTGCGTTCAATTCGCCTTATGTTGTCTAATGTAACATTGTCTGATGAGAACAGACCGCCATGCATTACCAGAATTTTCTGGTTAATGCAATGGCATAATGGCAGCCAGTTAAATACTTGCGTGAATATATCCGCCATTGTACTGGTATACTTGGCGGTAACCTCGCCCGTGAAGCCATACATCTGATTCATATTGATGCTCTCATGATTGCCTGTAAATGAGTTTCGTAAGTCCTCAGTTCGACGACTTGGTTCGCTAACGTTAACTTACCACGCGATAAGAAGAAATGATTCGGATACAGCAACTTGAATCCGAAGAGCGTGAATATGCATTCAACCGAGAATGAACCTCTATCGACAAAATCTCCATTGAATAAATACGGATTCTTCTCTGAAGGTAACCCGTTTATTTCGAAAATATTCATTAGATCATAGAACTGGCCGTGAATGTCGCCGCAAATAGTAAACTTCTCCTCATCTGGAACTTTAATATCCACAAGGGACGGCTGTGCACGCATGTACACATCAATGTCACAGAGTATCTGCAATCATACATAAGTTATACATTTCATATTAAGGCTTAAATGCAATAACGCTACCTTATAGGCGAATTTTCGATGCAGTCTCTTTTGTGCCTTATAATGCTCCATAAGGTCTTTCATGAACTTTAAAGTAACCTTGCCATCCTCCAATTGAGGTCCCTTATAGTCGTCCTCGATGGCTACATTAAAAATCGACATTAATTAATTCTGAATGCAAGGACTTGATTGTGTGTTTCAACATTTAAATAAAATAATTTGATTACTTACTGATGTTCTCCATGTCTCTGTACATCTCCGAGAGAGACTTCTCAGGCTTATCCACAGCAATAGCACGCTCAAAGGCTCGCATTTTGACAATCTTACTGCACTCGGTAAACTTTAGTTTAGCGTCCTTATCATTGGGTCTGCATTTGGCCACCTAAGCAGATAGCTTATCAATTCATGCGTAACAGATTTGTAATAAACCAATTGTACTTACATATTCAAAATCAGATAGCGCCTGTTTAAACTTGCCTAGGGACATATGGGCCGCCGCGCGCCTATAATAGCCCTTTAAATAAGTGGGATCAGTTTTCACTGCCGAAACGCCATCCTGCAGGGCCAAGCCAAAGCTTTCCTGGCGCAAATGCGCGAGGGCCCTATTAGCATAGTATATTGCACTGCTGGGGTAAAGTTCTATGGCTTTGGAATACATGTCAATGGCTTTCGAGAATTCCTTAGCTGCGAAATGACAGAATTGGTTACGATTACATATTTGACATTAACTGTCTGTTTCAATTAAAATATGAAGATTTTAATTTCAAAAGCTAGTGTAAAAATTATATTCACATAGCGCCACTGCTAGTCAATTGTTTTTAAGGTTAGGTCGAGAAAAAAACGTACTATCAACACGGGACGCGCTGTGGGTGCATACAACTGCTTTTTAGATTGCATGTGCCTTCATTCCAGTCATTATCATAACTATATAATTGTAGTTTGTTTCAATTTCAATTTGATAAATGACAACTTACTTTTGAGCAATTCATTTCCCTTATTTTTGTACTGCTCAGCCGCGGCAAAATCATGTTGCGTTGCATCCGTCGCCGAATCAGGTTTGGTGGCATTAATATCTGCATTGGACACTTGTTCTTGCTGATTATCAATAGATTTCTGTTGGATTTCCTGTTCTGACGACGACATACTTTATTTTAATTGATCAATTTTTTCTGCCTAGCTGTTCTCTAATATTATTTACTGTCTGCAAACTTTCAAGAGTTGAGAAACGCCACAATGATTAGTGCTGTGCAACAAGCGGGAAGGCGCAACTTATCGATATGTTGATATTTTCAAACCTAGAGTAAATAACTTCTCAGCTCAATCATAATATATTTCTATCAATATTGCATAAACATATGTCAATAGAATTTACTGCCTGAATCGTGTTCAATACTAGAGAAATTGATATAATGTATATATCATTTTCAAATACATTGCTTCATATTTGCTTATGCGCTTAAATGCACTGCAGAACAGGTGCAGGTGCTGCACAACGCCGCATATCTTATTATCGATAGCTTAAGAAGCCGTAACAGCTGTTGTGAGCTGGGCTTTGTAATCAAGCGGCGAAGAAAAATTAGAAACGGGTTGTTGTTAGTATAGAAACTTTGAGGCGAATAGCAGCACTGAGGCACACAAGCAGAACCTGGCTTGGGCAGACTTCAAATAGAATCGCAATTATAATTATTCGGGCTGTTTTCCTCAGTCGCCAACTATCCATTTCAAAGTGCATGTGCGGGGGCGTGTCAGCGTGAGATAGTGTGCAGTGAATAAATATATGCAAATATGAATATGAGCAATTTATCTGTTGACGGCGAGTTCCGTTATATTATTCAATGGTTTAACGAATGGAGTGAGCTGCAGCGCGATGATTTTGTCTATGTGTTGGTAGAGTATCTCACCAGAGACACGTCCGTGAGTGCAGGCGGAGATGGACATGCTAGCAGTACCTATGTAAATGGCGTCGTCAATGCCCTGGCCACGTCGGGTGTACAGGAAAAACCCATGAGTCTTTTTCAATGCCGTGTAAATATATGAAAAACATTTGGTTAATCCGTTACATTCTCTTACTAAAGTTTATTTTTATAACAGATTAAACTGTTTCGTCAATGGAGTCCCAAATGGCCGATCGAGTTCAAAAGTAAACTGCAAGAGAAAATCACCGAATTGGACCCAAAAGTGGGAGAAAAAATCATCAATGAACTGAAGACTTCACACTCTATGCACAATGGTGATGTATCTGTGAATTTAAATGTAAATGGAACTAGCGGCAACGGGTACGCTGAATTGGAGCAAACGACTGCAGACCCAGAAACGTTGCCAAGTACAATAGAAACGCAGGCGGCAGCAGCAGTTGCAACAACAACAACAACAACGGCAGCAGATGCAACAAACGGTGTCAGCGATCAGACTTTAGAGACAGTTAACGATAACCACTTGGCAGCGGTGTTGCGTCAAGAAACGCCAGTTGATGATGATGATGACCAGCTCGTTGGCAATGATAGCAATGCTGATACTAATGGCATTCGTGGGACGTCGTCATCAGTGACAACAATTGCGGTGAATACGTCCCCAGCAGAGCAGTTGCCGTTGCAGTCACAACAGCAGCAGCATCAGCAGCAATCGCAGCCGACTATCGAACCTGTAGAACAGGTCGAGAATAACGTTTCAGCCAGTGTCATTGTCTCTGTAGCTGCTGCGCCCGAGGTAGTCCCGGTGGCATAAATACACGAAGAGCAAGCGAGAAAGGAGAAAAAAAGCAATCGGCTTATCGAGAACATACGCATAGCATTGTACGCCATCAGAATCAATACATTCCATATATACACATTTCTAGACATACATACATTGTATGTATATTAAGCAAAAGTTCATCATGTCATTTGTGCATTTATGTTTAGCGTAAGCTGATTTACTAAATATGTTAGTAATATTTTAAGTTCAATCTATGATCAAAATATATACATATATTCAAGCACATCTGAACGCGCACTTTTAAAGGATATGAACGTCTTGCACTCTCTTGTAAATGTCGATAGCCCATTTATAAACACTCAGAATGGATAGCTCGGAAATACTTGAAAACATGTTTTAACTGATATGTATACATGCATGCATATGAATGTGCGAGTGTGTGTGCGTGCTTTACTTTCGTGTTGCCGGCATGTTGACTTACGCACGAGGTGTCAGTGCCACTCAGATTTCGGGCCAGTTATGATCGTTCGCTGCCTTTGGCTCTCTCTCAGCTCTACTCAAATTAGTTGATACGTATATGCATATGAGTGCGTGTGTGTGTGTGTTGTTTCTTTGTTGGCGTGTGTAGTGGTGGCTATTTCATAAGTTCAGCTTTTGGGGCATTCAATTTATTTTCTGTTCCCTCTTTGTTTTGATTCGTTGTTGATAATAAAAATCAAAAAAATTAAAAAAGCAAAAACAACAGCTGCACTCCGCCGTCAAAATGGAAATGGAAATAAGATATACTCAGATATTGAACCAATTTATTTCAATTTTATTTTGCACCTCGACGGCAAAAGTTGTGCTCGCGTCTGATCAGCTAAGAATAGTCCGCAGACTGACGACGATTGTGCCCGCGACTGTGTGTGTGTGTGTGCGTGCGTCTGAGTGTTAGTGTGTGTATGTGCTGTTTATAAGTGTGTATCTAAACGGGAAAAATTGTAGCAGCCGCTGAACGAAAGCGCAAAATGCATTTGCGTTTTGTAAAGCTAATTTGCTTTGTAGTGATTAGCACATTGTGCTTTCAGTGTAAGTACAAAAAAAGAAGCAAACAAACGACTTAAGCAACAAACTGGAGTGACGCTCTTATTGGAGCTCCGCTCTTATTGGAATCCATGGCTGCTGCTAGTGTATGACAAATCAGATTCGAAGCAAAAGAACAGACGTCATCTTGTTGCCCATGTGGGACTGGGTCAAGGTCAATGTCTAGAAATTCCCAAAGCAAATATGCTAACATCATGCTCTGAGCCAACAAGCGAAGGGCAATAAACTACAACAATATAATTACGAAAACGACAGCAAAAGTGACTCAGTAATTGCCGAACCGGACTTCTGTTGGCGCTTTGGCCACTTCTGGCTTGCAGATATTGACCTTGACTATTTTCTTGGTTTTAGTCTGCGTTTTATTTTTAATTACTTGCACGTGCGTTTACCTCAGACCAAAATCGAATTTTGCAGTTGTTTGCCCGGCCAATGTCTGCCATTGCATACGGATCAAGGATTGTGCGCCCTTTGTCCGGCTTTTGCTCAACCACAAGCCCGAAGAGCGCGCCTCTGTATTTTCTATGGTCCACTCAGCTGGCTGTGGCTTTCAGGGCCTCGATCCTCTTGCCTGCTGTCCCCATCATCAGGCGGCATCTTCTCACATCGGTCGCAGTTTACGCTATGCTCCAAGCGAACGCTGGATCTGGGGCCCTTCAAGTAGCTCAAAGCGCAATCCAAGAGTCAACGTCAACCTCAATCGCCTTTTGGCACATGAGACTGAAATGCGGTTGCTCGATTATCGAGATTTTGCGGCTCAACGCAATTGTCCCCAACCACTTGAAGAGGACTATGATGATCATCCTCATAATTTTGGCAGCGGACATCACTTTCACTTTCACATTGATCACGATATGGGGACGGCGAAGAAAGAGTTGCGTCCAATACCCGCTGATAGGCCGATTGTCTTTCCCGGTGACCTGCGTTTCCAGCATGCAACGGGCTTGAAGGATCAGGTCGAACTCTTTGCCGATGCAAGTGAGGAGCAAGTTGTACATGACAACACGCCCACAACCACGCCCAACCCTGTGACACCAGCGACAGGTGTGAGGCTTAACTCAGCCGACTGTGGAGTCAGTCTGAACACACGCCTATTGGGCGGCGACAAGGTGGAGCCAGGCCAATATCCGTGGTTCGTCCGAATCGCCTATCGCAATCGCAGTGAGTATGATAATTTAAACAAAAAATTTATTAATACAATCCAATTGGGAATGGTTTACAAGTGCCTGAGTACGTGTTTTCATGTTAGACCTTGACATTCGGTTAATGAACAAAAAAAGCACAAATCAAACAAAACAGAATAGATCGATTACCCTAGCTCATTAGCCACGTTAGTCATCTGCATGGTTAGAAAGCAACCAATGGAGAAAACAAGAACTGCTTTTAGAAGTGACATCGAATTATCGCTACCGTCACCTCCTTGCGAATCGTTGCCGCGAGCCCCCGACCTTCCCTTTTGGTTTGAAGGATTGTTGCTGCCATCATGGGGACCCCCATTTTTCGAATTGGGATAGCCATTCGGATCGTACGATCCGCCTTTATTTTGTTTCCCAGAATTTTGCTTGCCGTTGGCACAATATGAACAATTGGGATCTGTATTAGTTGCACTTTTGCAGGAACATCCCTTAATCATGTTGTCAGATCTGCAAGCATATTGAAACATTTATTGATTAATCTATTGTTTATTGTCTCCATTCTCCATTCACAGCCAACAATCACATCAGCTATCGCTGCTCTGGCTCTCTCATTGCCAACAATTACGTTCTTACCGCCGCCCATTGTGTTGTTAACCTAGTGAGTGATCTGGAAGTGTAAGTCTCAGCTGATGAATCTTTAAATGTAAAAAATGAAAACGAAACTGAAACTAAAAATTAACCATCAATTGTGGCTAATCAAGATTTGCCTCAATTGGTCAATTTTAGATGTGAATGATATAGATCTAAAGTGGGCTTTAAAATCGGCTTGCACTCGAAGATAGATGGGCGATAGCTAGTACAGACTAAGCCATCTACAAAATTATCTTTATAGATTTCAGGTGCGTATAGGCGACGACATCTCCAGCCCGCAGGATTGCGCCCCGAATACTGCGAACTGTTCTAAACCGAATATATTCAACATTATACGCGTGCTGGTGCATCCCAACTACGACCAGCCGAAGTACGCGAACGATATAGCACTGCTCGGGCTCAGCAACAGTATAAGTATACGAAGATAACCTTCTCACGCCCCCACGATATTGTAGTAGTTTAATATTGTTGCAGGTAAATTCACACCAATATGTTTACCTTTGAATAGCACGGCAGCGCTTGCGGATAAAATTATTGGGCAAATGGGTGTTGTGGCCGGGTGGAGCACAAAAGCGGAGAGTATGTTGTTATACTTAAGATAAATAAAACTGAAATGAATCACATTGATTATACCCAGTGTGAAATCATTTCGTGTGCTTACTCGGTTTTTTTTTTACAGCTAACAGTTCAAACAGTTCCGGTAGCTCGCCTACGGTGCGATTTATCCGGTTGCCCATTGTGAACACGACCAGCTGTGCGATTACCTATGCGACGCTTAGCGAGAACTTCCAGCAGCCGATTGTCATTACGCCGAACCACCTGTGCGCCCAGGGCCAGCCCATGAAGGATGTGTGTCGCGGCGACAGTGGGGGTCCCTTCATGGACGACGGCACCTCCGGCATCCTCAATGCCAACGGACGTTACACGCTGCTCGGAATTGTGGCCTTTGGGCCAACCCTTTGCGGCGTGACAACAATTCCAGGCGTTTACACGGCTGTCAGCTCCTATATAAACTGGATTTTCGACAGCATCAATATGCTAAATACATGAACGGAAGATTTGCGAGAGACATGACTTTCTCCAAAGTTCTTTCAACGCCAAAGCCGAAACTCTGCGCACACACACGTAGAGTTCACCGTTGTGTATTATTCCTATGCAATATTAATACTATAAATAAACATAAAGATAAATAAAAAGAAGAGTGCTTTGGCCGAGGCTGCTCGACTAGGAGATACTCTACAACCTGCGAGAGCTTATATACAATACAAACAAATTATGTAGGCACACACACTCACATAAGCACGTGCTCTGCTTTCTTCGCAGTTTACCGCTGAGTTATGGGAATGTCTATTTCTATACTCATTATACGGTATATCTATGGTCTGCCACGCCTTCTTCTACCTGTTACATACATTTCACAAAACCAGCATACCCTGCTTGCACATTTTCGATGGAAACAACAAACAACTCGCAAACTGAAGAAAACGGAGAACAAAACAAAAAGCTCAAGCAAAAGCTCAGACAAAGTTCTCCCTTAAGCTGCGCTCGCCGCTTCGCAGCGTCTCAGTTGTACGCGAAGCCTTGCTCTGGTCTCTCCATTCGTAGCGAGCGGCTGCCGAGTGAAGTTCAACGGGGATTCCGTTTTGGTCATCATTTTTATTTAATTGCTGCATTTACTTGAATAGGACATTAAGAGATATACAAATAAAAAACAACAAAAATATTGCATATAACTGACGACGTTTTAACCGAAAGCTTGTGTTACATAATAAAGCGAAACATGCTGAAAACATTTTCGATCTACTTAATTTTGGGACTTGCTGTGAGTTCGGCAAATTCGCGTAAGTAGCTAAATTGCCAAAGGCAGTGAAAAGTTTGTTGAATCATTAAAGAAGCCTAAAGAATAATGATTTATACACACAAATATCTGCATGTTTGTTGGTATGTAAATACGACTATGTATACTGGGGGCCATCACAGCTCTCTCGGTAGATTAGCTATTCCGAAACCAGTTTTATTTTGAACTAAACGTAAATAGATATTATTAATTCAAATGCTCAATGCATGTACATATATACAGATTGATTCACTATATATTTTTGTGACTTGTTCGCAGAATTTTATTTTCCCAATGAGGCTAACCAAGTGCCGAACTATGGACGGTGCATCACGCCCAACAGAGAGCGTGCACTGTGCATCCATCTGGAGGATTGCAAGTATTTGTACGGAATACTGACATCAACACCTCTACTAGACGCGGATAAACTATATCTCAGCCGTAGCCAGTGTGGCTATTTTAATCAGAAGGTTTTGGTATGTCAGCATCATATAAACTTCTGAAATTACGCCGTAAGCAATATCTTGACTTGCAGATTTGTTGCCCAGATCGTTACCGGGACACCACGCCGGTGACGACAGTACGACCCACAGCAAACAAGACAAACACAAGCTTATTGCCATTGCCGGGTCAGTGTGGAAATATATTATCAAATCGTATTTATGGCGGCGTTAAGACAAAAATCGATGAATTCCCTTGGATGGCGCTGATCGAATACACCAAAGGTAGCTAAGCGACAATGTGAAACCATTGGATAAATGTATTCGTTTCCTCAGGTAGTGGCAGCAAGGGTCACCACTGTGGCGGATCACTGATCAGCACTCGTTACGTAGTGACTGCATCGCATTGCGTCAATGGTAAATCTCTGCCCACTGACTGGCGTCTGACGGGAGCACGTCTTGGTGAATGGGACACCGAAACGAATCCGGATTGTGAAGTCGATGTGCGTGGTATGAAGGATTGTGCGCCACCGCACTTGGATGTGCCAGTGGAGCGCACCATACCGCATCCATCGTACGATCCCAATTCCAGGAACCAACTCAATGACATTGCTCTGCTACGCTTGGCGCGCCAAATCGAATACACGGACTTTGTGCGTCCCATTTGTCTGCCGTTGGACACTAATCTGCGATCGGCCACATTCGATGGTATTTCAATGGATGTGGCTGGCTGGGGTAAGACAGAAGAGAAGTCTTCCAGCAATCTAAAGCTGAAGGCCGCCGTGGATGGCTTCACCTTGTCGGAGTGCCAGTCCGTCTATAGCCGCCAGAACATTGTCCTAGAGAATACACAGATGTGCGCTGGCGGCATGGAGGGCGTCGACTCGTGTCGTGGTGACTCTGGTGGCCCACTCATAGGCCTCGACACAAACAAGGTGAACACCTATTATTTTCTGGCGGGCGTTGTTTCATTCGGGCCCACGCCATGTGGCCTGAATGGCTGGCCAGGCGTTTATACTCGAGTCGGACCTTATGTAGATTGGATACAGTCTACACTGGAACCATAAAATATTCCAATAGCTTTAACTTACTTGGTATTAAAGATGAGCGAAACACGTAGCTAAGACCATAACAAACAACACCGAATTTTTTAAATTATCAAAGAGTTCTGAATACTACGATCCTCTGAGATATCTTTTACAATTTCTAGATTCTCTCATATGTATTTCAGGAAATATTATTTGGGTCTCAGCCTAAGGTTATGCTTTAATAATATCACGTCGAATGTTGTCATTAACATGGCCAAAAGACCATATGGCTTGTGCCATCATATATCATATCCCATATGAGTTTTAAATTCCTCTGTGTGCAGAGAACGACGTAGAACTGCCTAAGATCCGAATATACGCTTAAGTTACATTTAATACCGATTAATTATAATAAATTATATATGTATAAAAGTTTACAATTTTAACACATGCAGTTCAACATAATATGAACCAAAATATTGTACACTTAAGCTTATAAAAACTGTTTATAGAGTTTCACTGTTATTTTGGTTTCTATAATTCACTATCGGGGTAAGCAGCAAAATATTGGATTTTGGATTTGGGTGGCGTGCAGGATGCTATGATAAATATAATAATCATAAGCTACATTTTCGAAATTCGAATCTAAATTTTGCTACATGCATGCTGCCCCTGTTCGGCAACTTGTTTATGAGCGTAACGATGCCAGGCGACTCTGCATTTCCTCCAGCTCTTCGCCATCATCGTCATCCTCCTCGACGGCAACGCGGGAAGCTGCTGCTGGTGTCTTGTCTGCTGGTGTTGCTTCTGGCGGTAGTGGAGCCTCGCCCAGTTTACCATCCGTAATTTCCCAGAGTACCTTGTCGACCTCCTTTGCTGCCTCCTCCTCCAACTCCTCAGACTCTTCCAGCGAATCCATGGTCTCGTCCAACATCTCCTCGATTATGCCGGCCTTCATCATTTCCTTTGACATGTCGCGCATAATGCCCGCCAGCTCCGGATATCGAACAAGACTCTGCATGGCCTGCATGACTTCTGAGGATTTCTGCAAAGAACCAGCCACCCGCAATGTAGCTATAAAAGAAATTCAAAGATCAATTAGTGGCAGTAGTAACTACAATACACCAAATTTACTTACACAATTGATTTTTCATCTGCATCTGTATGGAGCTTAGATGCGCCTTTGATGTGTATATGCGATTTATCGCCTTTCGTGCATTCACAATCTCTTTGGCGAGAATGATGCAGGTGTCGCGGTCATTTTTTTGAGCTGCCTGTTTGAGAGATCGTTTCACCTTCTCCTCTTCTCGTTGTATACTTCGTATCTGCCTATCAAGCTGATTACCCTCTTTTCGCAACTTGTGCGTCCATTCTTGCACCTATAGATATCGAACGAACAGATGGGGAAAATAAGAATCAAAACAATTGGAACATGACATCATTTCAAGGCAATCCATGGCCTTGTTAATGCGCAAAAGTGAAATGAATCAATATAGTATTCTGATATCTAACCTGTTCTTTGGGGTCTTTGCTGGGAGTTTTGCCAAATAAACCCATTTCACTTTGCTTATAACGGTATGCTAATTATTATTATATTGTTTAAACTATTCGACTTAACACTGTCCGTGAGTCATTTTTTTGTGATAAGTCTGGCAGCACTTTTCCAATGTTTATATTTTATTTCAAGACAGTCTGGCAAGGCCTACGTAAACTATGTATGCAGCTTTTTGTCAATGAATTGATGGGAATTAATAAATATTTTTATCTGATATTGTTTATTATTTATTATCTATAAATGAATTCATTTAAAACATAAACATTTCGTCAGAAATTAAATACTGAACGGGAGCTTTTGCTCCTCATAAACAACTGTTAAAAACAAAGCAGGTAGCAAAAATATTTGTCTCGCTCACTGGCCAGCGTACTGTCCTACAGCACAGCTGGCACTTTATAACACTAGCATCAACCGCGCAATCGTGATCATGTTTACCGCTTGGCAATTTAGTTGAAGTCTTATTTAACTTTGTAGTTTTATAATAATTAAAAAGAAACAATGCAGTCAAATGCAATAGTCAGTTGTTTATTGCTCCTGTTTCACAATGTGTGCTGTTACCAGGATAACTGGGTCGAGCCACATGCGTGGGCGGAACTGACAACAACGCAATTCAATACTCCAGGTGAAGATGCCTGCCAATGCCAGGCTTTGCCACCTGAAGGGAAATCACTGGCCACAATTGAGGATCAGTTAGCGCTAATGTATTTTAAAAAGTTCGTTAACACTCTATTTAATCGAAAAAAGCTAATGGTAAGTAGGCGGCGTAATCATTGTCAAATTTGTGCTAATGACGTCATGTCAATCATTTTAGCATGGCAAAACGTCAAATGTTTTTAAGCGATCGGTTCTGTTTACATTACAAGCGTCACAAGTTGTTGAACTTGAGACGGTCGAAGATGTGCGTGATCTTGATATTTTACTTAACAAAATACTAGATGAAGCAAACGACGTTCCTTTGTCGTCGGATCAAGTTGATGACGACTATTCCTATACGCACAAGGAAATGGGAGTGTTTGCGCTTATTATGGATATTTTCAAGGACCTTCAAAAGCTACTTCAAATATCCGAAGTATGACTCGCTACTATTAAATATATATTAGCACATATATTCAAGTATTTCTTCCTAGGTGCGTTTCATGTTAACTGTTCTGCTGATCATCGCTACCGGGTGGATTGTGCATAAACGATTCAGATATTCTGCAATAGCCATAGTTATAGGCGGAATTTTCCTGTATGGCTACTTCGTTACCTATTTAGAGTGCAATAGGGTATGTAGTATAAATTGAAACCACGTCGTTTGCTACATTTCTATATATCTTTTTTTTTCTAATTCATTTAGAAACTAGAAGTTGATGCTGTCATTGAAGTAATTGATAGTCATCAAGAGTCCACGGATAATGAAAATACAAACTGGTTTTCAGGCATATATGGCTCTTTATTTAAAGAGTCTAAAGAAAAACAACAGAGGGAAAAAATTTTGTTAGTACTACTCATTAGCTATTTGCTTAAAAACGTATTCATAAACTATGCATATTTTTGTCATGTACGTTACAGAAAATCTAGCAAATTACGTATGCCTTACTGCCGACCAGATCATGTGTTCATTATGTATGCGAGTGAAATATTTCTTAAACAAATTGAAATGATCTTAGAAAAAACCACTCAAACTATTTCGAGCTTAAATTGTAAGTTTCTAAATCTTAAAAATATAATGCCATTTATTATAATTGTTTTCTTTACCCGCAGCGGAATTATCATTTCCATTCAACTTAATAGCTCCTTTCGGACTTATAGCTTTGATTGGGTACATAATTAAATTAATATTCAAGTACGTTATAAGTCCAAAGATGTGGATCGGAGTTTTTCATGGGAAATCTGGGAAAACCTCTTCACAACCCCACGTCACTGCAAACGAAATGGTTGAAGATCGTATATCGGGCGAAAACCTTAAAATGTTATTAAATGTCATAGGTACGACAAATATAGTACAGTCTCAACAACAACAAATACAACTGCCTGTGTCGGGTGTACAAGAGTTGGTGGAACCAATTGAAGCACCACCACCACAAACGCCTGAGAAAGCACAATCTGAAAGCAGACAAAGTTCAGAGCCTAGTCCCAATATTAGCAATGCCTCAGAAGACATCGCTCATGAAGCTGGCTTCACCGTTGTAGATGATAACTCGGATGGTGATCCTATCAATACCTTTTAGCTATTTTTAGCCTTTTTATGAAATGCTGTATTATGTGTAATGTTTGTGGTTATATTTTATCTTTTTCCAACTAATTGGCATACCTTTTAACCCAATTATGCTACCAAATGATATTTTTCATAGCTAAATTATTTCCCGTGTAATTATTTATTAATTTGCACTGTTAGAATTATAAGTTGAACCCTACAATAAGTTCATTAAGTGTCAATAATAGGCCTAAAATATACAGTTGTTACGTTAATATTATGTTATTATGCAATTTGAAGCTTGTATAAAAGCAAGTTGCTGAGTTATTGTTAAAATTTTCAAAATCCCTTTAGCACTGAGTTTTTTTTTTTTTTGCTGCGAATCAAATAGCTTAACATACAACGTATATTTTATGTAAATAATAATTATTTGTATATTCATGAAAAAAAAATTGTAATTAATTTTGTGTAAATATATTCATACATTGTATTTTAAATTACAAAACACGTATACATGTTGTATTATATATAAATATCATTCCTTTTATACTATGAACAAATGATCAATTTTTTTATTGAATTATTAATGTAGTTAGCATTTAATTTGATCACGATTTGAAGTATTATAGAAGTATTACAGATGCACAATCCAATTAAATGTAATGTTAGTTTCATATCACTATTGCTCCACAGAAAGTGCCGGGATGACTGGATTGGGCCACATGCGTGGGCTGGAGTGGCATCAAGGAAACTAAATAATCATGCTGGAGACTCCAGTCAAAGCCAGCGTGTGCTATCCTAAGAGACATCCCTGGCAACAAAAGATGTTCAATAGGCCTTAATATCTTTTAAAAATGTTGTTCATAACATACTTAGCTTCGATGCACTAATGGTAAGTAGGCGGAAAAATCACAGACGAATGACAAGTCATAATATCATCTCCACATTTGCTTTTATGTTTTTTAGCACGGCAAAGAAACGGGCTCTGCTCTTTTCTCTCTGTGATTCAGATTTCGAAGAACTTGATCATCATCCAAGATGTGTGTAATCTTAATATATTGCTTGCGAAATACGAATACTTCATAAGGCCGTCGAGATTCCGTTGTCGTCGGCTCATACGGACGTCCTTTATATCAGCCGTACGGTGTGCATGCTCACATTGTGAATATTATCAAGGATTCACTGCAGCGACTTGAAATACCTGAAAATTCTTATTTTGTATCGTTTTATGCAGAAAGTAAAAGCTGATTTTCTGCTTGTGCAAAATGTTTATGGCGTCGAGAGAAAATCTACAAAGAGAACATCTACAAAGAGAAAATCTTACGTTAGCAAAAATTTGTACAAGTAATCCATTACGGTAATTGCTAAATGTGAAGCCAAGTTTGTTGGGCTAATTATCGTAAAAGAAATCTTTTTGGAAGCCATTGGTCCCATCCTTGTGAGCTTATTTAGTAAGTAGCTAAATACTTGTAATTGGCATGAGCAAATGTTTATTTTTCATATATATCCTGCAGCTGAAGTGCCATTTTCATTTAACCTGATTTCTGCAATTGCACTCATCGTCCTGATCGAGCTAAGAGAAGCGAAAGAAATGTGTGAGCTCCGAATAAGCAAATACGAAAATAAACCAAATATGTATATTAGTATTCGAATTGGCTAGTATTTCCTTTAAGTTTTCCCTTCAAGTATTTCCTCGAAGTATTTGCTCAAAGTGTTTCCTATAAGTATTTTCTATAGGTATTTCTTCTGAGAGTTTCCTCCAGGTCTCTCCTCTAAGTCTTCAATGAAAGCTTACCGATTATTGAAAATTTGCACACACTTAATGTCACTTCACTTTACTGCACTGACGATTGACTCCCACCGAGCCTGGGCGACTGAAGAAATGCTGCAACTGCTGCCCTTTATATAGGGCGACTCTCACCCACACACTGAGCTGCGCTCAAATGTTGAGCCCGACGTCAGGTAGGGCTCGTTACAGCCGAACTTTAGGTTACCAATGGGAGCACTCTCTGCTGCTCTCTGCAAGCAGTCTAGCTTTAAATGGCCAATGGGAACGCCCTCTGCTGCTGCAAGCAGCCAAGCTTCGTTTTACTTAAGTATAAATACGAAATGAATACTTCTGCACACATATAAACAACTTACATGATCTTCTGAAGCTCTTCTTCAGCTTTGCTTGCTTGCTGGCAGACGGAGAGACAGATAGAGAGAAAAACTGTGACATAGACAGGGATACAGATATACCGCCTGACACAGGAACATTCACATATACATATATAGACAACCAAACACGCATGGTAAAATGTATGTGTGCTCCATCGTTAGTGTTCTTATCAATAATTGCCAGCTATTGGTAACGGTTTTTTGAAATTCTGCATTAGGTGTAACGTTTGTGGTTTAATTTTGTCATAGTTAAATTATTCTTTATTTAAATAATTCTGCGTGTAATTATTTCATGCTTGCACGATAATTATTTTAAGTTAAATCTCCAACAATAAGATTTCATTAGGTGACATTAATAGGCCGCCCAAAGGTGTTTATTACATGTTAATATTAGGCTAGCGGCCAAATTGTTCATATGTTTATATACGAATAATGCCAATTGCTGAATTTTTGTTTATATTTACAACATCTTATTAGCATTGAGTGCGCATGTGTGTGTGTGAGTGTGCTTGTATATGTATGTGTGTGCTTGCTGCATATTGGAAATGTAAGCAATAATCAAATATTCATCATGAATAAACTAGTTCAATATACAACTTATTGTTGTGTGTATAATAATTCTATATTCATAAAAAATTATAATTAATTCGGTGTAAATATATTCATTCGTTGTATTTTAAATTATACTTTTGAATTACATATACGTACATATCGATGCTGAATTACAGTTAAATAACATTCGCTTAATTTTATTATGCAACAAAGTATCCATGTTCTGATTTGTATTATTTATTTATTTATTACAGTGTATTCGACTACTCGGCACGCCCTTTTAAGCCATAACCCGTTTCGCTATCAAGAGCCCAACAAGCCTAACTAAACCTAGGGAAACTAACCGGAAAACCTAAAGCACGCAGGATAATGCTAATCGTACATAAGATTCAACGAAGTCTGTCATTAGAATTATACATATATAATAAATACCTATGTATGCATTGGTTTGCGGTGGCGAACTGAGAAAATTTATCTAATTGATTTCTGAAATCTTATACGCAAATTGGTCCGCTATCAAAATCTTGTTTAATAATTTCACTAGACAAATTCAACAATATTTAGTAAATAAGTATGTACTATGTTATATATTTTTTTTTTTTTTTTTTTTTTTTTTTTTTTTTGTATATATGCTTGTGTCTATGATTGGCTTTTCGAATAACTCGTCATCCACTATGCATCTAAATCATATCTAAACATCGAGCAAGTGGCATTGTGCATAAGAAATGAGCTAAGTCATAATTAATATAATTACTTCGTCCTTCCTACCCCATCCTCCCCTCTCTATCATATTTGCCCCTAATTTGGCATGACAGCAATTAAAATGAATTACTTTTAATTAGCTGAATAGGTTATATGTAATATAAATTGGAAAAAACTAATTAATGCCTTCCCCTCTCGTAATATCAATCAACAGTAAAACGACGCGAAACTATCATATTCAACCATCAACCTGCTAATAGACTTTAAATCCTAAGCCAACCCAACTATTATAATAATTAAGCAAATACCACAATTTGTAAACTGTGCTCGTTTTTAGAAAACAGGCAACTCATATACCATTTCGCAAGACATGTACTTCGATGTAAACGGGGATCGTAATCCCCATCTCTAGCACTAACTCTACAATTTCTGAATGAGCGGCAAAAATTGTTCTTATTGCCTAACCTGACGAACTCCCGATCCCGGACTGCGATCGGGCCGCCAGGCAGGGCCTAATCTTCGACTATATCTAAGTTGTTTTGCATTGTTAATAAACTTCAGCAAATAATTGTAAATGAATACACGTTTCATCCATTCGTCTGTCCTTAAATCATTATGTCTGCCTAGAATCTATAAGTACCATAAGTGAAAAACAATTAAAAGGAAGGAAACTAACACACACGATTCGTATGCATACTTTCTCGGGATTATCAAGTGGGGATCATGTGAATAGAGTGTGTGAGTATTATTTATACATTATAAGTGATGTTAGTAATAAGTAATTATTCCATTTGTTTAACTTTTTCGTTTTTGGTTTTGGTGGTAAATAGTAGTTATACAGCAATTGATTGATAGTCAGATAAGCGCGTCTGCAGCAATCGAATGGAATGGATCCACTCGATTCCAGTGCCACAAATGCTACAGAATTGTCTTCTTCATGATCTGTTGTGAAAATGATGATCTGGGATGATCTGTGATGATGTGATGAGTTAGGCCTGGTAATTGGCTTATCATCTTTGGTAGTAAGTAGATAAAATTGTATGTCTTTTAAGTAGGTACTTTGGCTTTTCCTTTCGGATACACATATGTATGCATATATGTGCTTATATATACATATATAGCATTATGATATATGTATAATGTACACATCTATTGTGTAGGTGCGAGTATGTCATGTCCTGTTATGTATGTAGTATGCTTATGTATTTGATATGTATGCCGTTACGTTGCAGATGACGTTTTCCGAATTCAAATGAAATTTGTAGACTTTATGACTTGTATATATATATATATATATATATGTGTGTGTGTGCGTGTGCAAGTGGGTGTGAATATGCGGGCGGTTCAGTGATTGCCTTCTACATTCTGATAGAGACCAGAGAAGGTTCAAATCTATGTATGCAAAATATACTCGTAATGCTGTCTTATAGGTTTCGTTTTTGGTTTTCTTCATTCCATCTATAATTAATAATATATTTCCCATCTATGCAGGCTACGTTCTGACAACATCAGTCCCAATGTGTGATATATATATATAGTATATATGTATATGCATATGTTTAATCATTGTTCGTGTGCATGTGTGTGTGTATTTCTATATGTGTTGGTGTCTGTGAGGGATGAGTTCTCAAATCCTGCCACTGTCCCAATGCGAGTATTTGTCTGTCACGAATTTAGCTTGCCAAACTGGTTACATAACGCCGCACTTCTCCTTCACGCCAGCGCCACTGGCTCCGGCACTGGCACTGGCGCTGGCGTCTCCATTCTCCGGTATGGCTCCGTTGGTCTCCTTGCATTTCTTCTCCTTTTTCTGTTTCTTTTGCTTCTTTGTGTCCAGCTGCAGCGAGACGGTGCGCGTCTTCTCCATGTTGAGCAGCTCCTGGAACAGCTCGGTAACATTGTGATTGGTTTTGGCCGATGTCTCCATGAAGGATATGCCCCAGGTGGTCGCCTGCGCCTGACCTTCCATTTGCGACACTTCACGCAACTCCGTGCTCTCATCGCACTTATTGCCCACCAGCATAACGGGAATAGAGTTGACATCGCCCTGCAAATCACACGAGCTATTATCCAACGTCTCTATTCATCTATCTCTATCAGATGCTTACCTTTAGCTCTTTGATGAGCTCCCATATGGGTCGCAGCTCCTCTAGACTCTGCTTGGAGCACACGGAGTAGACCAAAATGAACGCGTGGCCCTTGGAAATGGACAACCGCTGCATAGCCGGAAACTGATGGGATCCTGTCGTGTCCGTGATTTGTAATGTGCAAATATTCTTATTGCAGCTGATGACCTGCAACGGCCCAGGATTGAAATCCAGCTTGGGTAAAGTATTTTGTATGGTCACCCACCTGCCTGTAGGTGTCCTCTATGGTGGGAATATAGCTCTCGCGAAAGGTGCCCTTGATGAAACGCAGCACCAGAGAGCTCTTGCCAACGCCACCAGCTCCAAAGACCACCACACGGTAGTCGTTGCTCTGCTCCGGCGCGGCGCGCGTCACCTGATTCTTTTGCTCTGTCATCCTGACAGTGTTGTGGGGCGGACCTCTACGGTTGTTTAGTGTTTGTCAAGAGTGGAGGCTCGCTGTGTTGCTAGGTTTGTCGACCACTACGTCTGTGCTTTACTTGAGCGCCATACTCTGGTTCTGGTTCTGCAACGATTAAGAGCAGCACATCAATTGGTCAGTTGAGCGGCCCGCTCGGGTTGCGTCTGCATTTGTTATTTCTTTTTTGGTTGCCCCTCCCCGCAACCTGCTCCACATTAAAATTATGAATAGAATATATGCGTGAGAGAGCGGCTAATTTTATCCATGTGCCAGTCGCGTTTATGTTAAGGTAGGCTATTGATTTTTTCTCTCGGTATAAATACAATTTGTTAAAATTAACGCAACGACAGAGAGATCTGTGCGGCGTTAACCTTTTGCGAGCTAGTGCCAACGTCATTCGCAATATCATCATCATTATTATCACCATCATCATCGTTGTTGTTATTATGATTACATACTATTATTTCAGCGTGGGCGGCTTGAGCATGAGAGGAGCGGRTGATATTGTGATTGTGATTGTGATTGGGCTCAGGTATCAGGTCGACCGCATTATGGGCAGCTTGGCACTCGTACACACACGCACGCACACTTATACGCCCACACACAAACATACGCACATAGTTTAGTGTATAAATAGAAGCTTTGAAGTGCAGGCGATTACAACAACATCAGGAATAACAAAAACAGTTAAATGCGTGGGTGAGCAAAATAATCGCTTACAGAGCCTTCCCCTGCATACACACACACACACACACACATACACACTCTGCCAGCCTGTGTGGGTGTATGTCTGTACGTATGTATTTTTGTTATTTGCTCTGGTGACCACAAACTTTAAATTGTTCACTTCCGCACACACAGAGTGTCCTGTGTTGCCACCTTATTTGGAAGCGCTTTGGTTATTGTCCTCTCACTGTTTTGCTCTTTTGTTTTCTTTCTCACGCCCTAATATCACGCACACTCGCAATCATACACACACGCACACACCCGCTCAGACACTCACACACACACATACAGGCACGCACAAATATTTTGTTAGCCGTTGATTTTTAGTTATTTTATTTTGACTTGGATTTATTGATTTTATGTGTGTTGCATTTTCACCTTTAGCACACGCACACGCACACGCACAAGCGTTCACAAACAAACAAACACACGCACACACCAACACACACATGCACACGCCCACACACATATCGAACAAATATTAATAAAAATGAAAATACAGCAAATTGTCGCCTGCCTCTTCGTGCTTGCTGGCGTGTCTATCAGCAAGGATATTTGGAATAAAATGCGTATTATTTACATTCAGTTCTTGCATTGCGTTGCACTTGAATTCGTTGCTAAAATGTCGCGCGACTTTTGCCTGCTAGCTGCTGTTGCAGCCGCACTCAGAAATCGGAAATACACTGACTCTTCGCGCATTCGCAGGGCACAGCGACACGGTCACAGCCGAAGCCGATGATGAATGGACAGGCAGACAGACAGACAGGAGGGTACCCACATTTGGAATGTGTTCGGTGTGCGCTATACGGTGCACGATAAGAGTCACAGTACCGCCCATTATCCACCTCATGAGTTTCCCACATGGAAACGCGTGCGCAATGCCAACGCTGTCCACTGAACTAAGCGGGCAGCGGTTAGAAACCAAAATAAAAGCTTTAGTCGAGACACACGCCAGGCCAGTGAAGCTAAAGCTTTCAAACGGAAAACATTAGTTGCACACGGCTCGAACGTATTCAGCCGGCCGGCCGGTCGGCGTGTGCAAAACTGGAATTAAAGCGCGCGGCAGCCGTGTGGAAAGCCTCGTTTCGAAAGTGTATAAAATCGGGTAGCATCCGTGGATTGGGCATCAGTTGTATTCTGCAGCAAAGTGAAAGTGACTCATCCGTCAAGTGAAAAACTAAATATTACTTCTTGTGCTTTCAAGTGACAGTCTTAAAAACATCCATACAAAATGCCTTGCCCATGCGGAAGCGGTAAGTCAGCCGAAGGACATCAAATAAATAAATGCAAAGAAATGCCGATCAGCACTTGAACTTAATATTAAAATTATTTTTGTATTTATTTATTTATTTTCAGGTTGCAAATGCGCCTCTCAGACCAACAAGGGTTCCTGCAACTGTGGCAGTGACTGCAAATGCGGCGGAGAGAACAAAAGCAAGTGCGGCTGCTCCAAGTGAACTCGTCAGCAATAGTACACACACATACATACATACATTCATTAAATTATAATTAGATTCGATCTTTTACGGCTAGTTGCTCTTGCGGAGACAACTACATACACACCTACATACATACAAACATACATGTGAAGAAAAGCTCATTCAGCAACACAAATTGAATAATGTGCAATAAACCAAATTGAAATTAAAGTTTTTTACTGCGTCGTTTCCACTAAATGTCAATTGTTGTGCAATCATTCAATTGTTTTTCTAGTAGGGGCGATTTTTTGGTTTTCTTTTCGTATTTATTTCGCCACTTAGTGGGAAATTCGAAACGCGCCTGCTGGCGTTGCAGTTGCTTGAAGAATAACTGTAGTTTAAGCAGATATACGTATGTATGTATGTCTATATGTACATACATACATATGTATATAATTATAATTATGTATACGAGTATAAAGTGTGTATTGTTATAACAGCTGCAAAATAAAATTAATATGAAAAATAAAAAACATTTTTAGCTCAGGTTTCAATAAATATAATTAATTGCATTGAACTGTCCAAAATATTCTGGTTCATTTTCCATGCTGATCATTTAAAGATATTTCTGGAAATAACGGAATTTAGAAAATGTTTCAATAAAGTGAGAGTCTAACTTGAGTCTGTCTTTTCTTTTTCTAGAAAATTCAGGTTATTATCGTTTTAATATGAAGATTTTTCTCGAAATAACAGTATGTATGGGGTGTATGCACATTTAAGCACCTGTACTTAAGCAGTCTCAACTGAAGCAAATTCAATTTGAATGCGATTTAGCCTGAAGTTTTCGCTCGACACCAAAAACTTTCCGTGTTCGGAGCTAAAATCCAATTAAGCATTTGCAAAGCGAATGCAAACCTAAAACTTCATTTCTTAATCGAGGCATTTAAATAAACATGTGCACACATTCAGTTTCAGGTAGATGACAGTTTTTTTGTTGGTTTTTATTATTGCTCGAGTTAATACGAGCATTTGTCATACAATATTTCGAGTGGCTACGTTGTGCCAAGGTAAGAACGAAACCTTCGCTGATTCTATTGAAGCAATCATATAATTGCTTCTGTATGCCACAGGCCAAGAGGTAACCAGACACCGTTTAACCTTTTCGTAAATAAAAAAAAATTAAAATAAAAATAAAAAACTTTCAACATCAACTTTGGCTCAGCCACTCTAGTGTCAATTGCTGAGACGTAGTTTGTCCATAAAAAAGAGGGGGAAAAAAAAACAAAAGAAATCAAATGAAGAAAAAACTCAAACTGGTAGCGTTGATAAATCAACCTTATTATCTAAGACCAAAAGTACAGTTTAAGTAGGTCTCACTGTTTGAGCAACCCTATCTACGTACGCTTGTACACATAACAGTTATCAGTTCAAGAAGAACAATAATGATTTCGAAATCAGGTAAATAAAAGTACATACATATCTACAGGTAGATGGGATCGTTTACACGTGAAAACGATGATATTTAAGAAATATAAATATACGAAATTGAATAATAAAACATGCGTGTGTCTTAACGTTTTATTGAAAATAATTTATATAAAACCAGTTTGCATAAATTTGTATTCAATATAAAATAACAATTCAAGCGAAATACTAATTTAATGCTATAAAAAAGTTTGAATAGATCTACAATAAATCCTCGTATAAACGAGATTTCAATATGAATACATGTGTGTGTGTGTGTGTGTGAGTGTGTATGCATGTATGTATGTACATGAGTGCAGATGAATGTGCGTATGTGTGTGTCTGGGTTAACTGAATTGCAGTTACTTGATAACAATATTCTGTGTCAAGCGCTTCACAAAGTCCACGTTCAGGAAATTGGCCATCAGTGTGAGCACCGACTTCTTGGGCGGACGACAGTGCCGCAAGCCCGCCTCTTGGCAGCACACATTGGGAAAGCAGTCGAGCGTGGAGGTGCAAGCCTTTGGATGCAAATCAAAAATCGTCGGCGGCGGTGCGGTGCACTCCAAGTATTCCGTAACTGTGAAAATGAAAAATATAGCTATCAACTATGAGCTGGAAGGGTTATATGTAAATGAACTTACGATAATCAAATGAACGCTTCACTGGCACCGGCACAGTCTCCAGCTCCGGCTGGGATGTGCGGCAGTAGCGCCGGCGACCATCGGGACAGCAGACGCGCGGCCAGCAGTCCATGTCCGTGTGACACTCCTGCACATCCCACCAGAGCTCAGCCAGCGGACGAGTCGGACAGCGGCGTGGTATCAGGCCCAATATGGCTGCAGCAGGAATTTCGTTAAATGCATCCAATGTGGCTTCTTGTGCGCCGTGAACTTACGTGCGTGTGCCGTCTCCTCGAGTGGCTTGGCAATGCCCGCGACGCAGCTGCTAGAGCCAAAGATGTCGCAGCAGATCTCATCCCGTTGCCAGACCAAACAGTCCTTGTCGGACTTGCAGATTTTCGGAAAGAGCTGGAAGCGCACCTCATTCTCGCGCGGACAATTGAAGCGCTGTCGCAGATCAGCGGCAGCCCGTTTATCCTTCTCCTTATCGCTAGCTCCGGCAGTGGCAGTTGGAAAGTTCAGCGTTGGCAATGCTATGCGGAAAGGTCCCTCAGTGGTGGTTGTTGTTGCTGTTGTGGTATTCAGTTTACGCCTTGGCTTTGGTGTAGTCTTCAAGGGCTTGCGATAAGCGGACTTCTCCTCCTTGGAGCCGGCAGCTGCAGTGTGTGTAAACTTCTTGGGTGGATGAGGCTGCTTGGTGGGCGCACTCACTGGCACAAGGCTCTGCTGGCCAAAGCTCCAAAATCTGGGATTGAAGAAATTGAATCCATTCGCCAAAGTTGGACGGGGCGCTGAACGTATGATAAATGGATTAGTCAACAATGGTCATTACTAGTTCTGCTCCAAATAACAAGCGTTGCAAGACAACCAAAGCGCAGTTCCCGTCACCCAGTTAACCGGCTCGTAAAACAAGTGCTTTTGTTAATGCTATTGAAAGTGAATCTTTGTACGCCTGCAGGCAACATATTGCCGCTGGCGCTGGAGCGCAAAGCAACACACAGTCCAGAGTCCGCACCCCTCCCCCTGACACACACTGTTACCAGTTACTCTGTTACCAATTACAAATGCCCATTCACTGTGTGAACGCTTCTTACTGGCCTAGTTTACAAAAGACTGGAATGATTATCACACGGTATTTAGTGGAGGGACTAAACATTTTTGTTAACTAAACAATTAGAATGAAACTTGCTTTTCTAGGCGACGATGTAATTAAATTCAATTAGAGTTAATATGAACTGTTTAACTTTAAAATTTGAATTTGTAAACCTTTTTTCGTCATTAGCTTTTACATCATTCTAACAGCTTTTACTGGTTTTGTTTCTTCCAAAACGATGTCATCCATTATAAATAGCTAAAATAAATCAAAGAATTGCAAAAAAATTGACACTAAAAGTCGCAAATTTACAATATGTGAATATTTATAATTAACAAATTTATATTAGCATAAGAGCAGAGATTTGTTGAATTTAGGGTCTATGTCTCTCTCTGTCTTTTAAAGGCATCGCATGTTTTACTACTTTACATATAAATTGCTTTGCCAAAAATAACACCTCAAGAAAGATGCTTTAAAGACTGTGGGAGCCGAAAAATCGTGTTTTAATTGTAATTGAAATTGCAACAGTTGAATTAAGATGCCACACAATAGGCCATAGAGAATAAACGAGTGACCCAATTTGATCTGTTAACTCCATAAGTGTCATCTCTAGACTTCAATGCCGAATAAAATATACAACAAAAAACACCAAAACTTTATTTATCATAAAACGTGCTAATTAAGGCCCAAGTTCAAGGCTCGTCTATTCAAATCTGCGCGGCTTTCGTTCGAGATGGCGTACATGCAGACAATTCGATGGCAAAAATCAATATCTTTGATAAGAGTATTTCATTCAGTACCTTTGCTAAAATGCAAGCACTAACCAGAGATGCAAGTCAATACTTTAAGCTTTCAATGAGTACGAGCAGCATTCAACATTACAATCGCATACGTCGCGTCCCGCTCGTCAAGGTCGTTCACGACTACTAAAAAAGACAATTTGAATTTGAAAGCTCAGAGCTACAGCGACTGCTCCAGTTATCAGCCGCATAATTATCGAATGTGGTTGGTTGTTTTCTTTTCGTAGTCAGACAGCTTCTCAGACGGCCTGCTGCTGTTAGTTGTCTTTACCAATCTTAAAACCCGAAAGCTAGGTCAGTG